TATTAAAATAAAAAAATGAAAAAAAATTAAATTCAAATAAATTTAAAATATATAAACTAATTAATTAGTTTTTAAAATAAAAAACTATTTATTTCGTCTTGCAAAACTATAAGAACTATTATATAATTTAATCATAAACACATAAGAATTGTTTTTATTTTTTTTAAATGTCCGTATTTGGACATTTGCTACTTAATCATATTAATTAGCTTCAACTTTAAAATATTTTAACATTTAGATTAATTGAAACTTGCATTATTATTTGCATGAAATTTTAACTTTTGCTATAATGAAAAACGAAAAACTTTTTAATGTTTCAATTTTTTTCCCCCTTAGCAATGATTACTATGATATATATCTCAAAGTCCAAAAGGAGCAAATTGACTTTCCCTCTTTTTTCATGTGAGAAATTTAATTCTTAACCTTTTTTTATAATGAAATTCAATTTTAAACTTTATTATTTCATATTTGAATATTCTTAGAAGTCCAATTATTGACTTTTATCTACTAAATTGAGTAGTACGAGGTACTTTCTTTAGAACAAGACATGTTAGTAACAGTGGCATATATATACACGGAAAAGAATTTGAGCTTCTTTGAAGAAGTTTTGAATTTTTTTTTTTTTGGTTTTTATCAAAACATATTCCAAACTATGGATACCATCTTACTAAAATAGATATTTTTTTGGTTTGATCAAAATTAAAATTTATTTTTCATTATCTCTTAATAGCTAACTCGTAATTATCTTTTAGTGATAATCAACGAATATGATATAAGAAATAGTCCAACAATCGAATAAAATTTAGATATATTCTCATAGTAGATTAATCCGAATAGTGATGGACTTAATTTATATTAATATAAAAACTGATAAAAAAAATATCACATTGTTTATAAATATAAGTCAATTATAAATTATTCCCTCTAGTTTTAAGAAATAAATTAATTAGTTCCTCTCATTTTAAAAATCACTATTTAATCATTTAATCGTGTTGATTATGTTTAATTTAATATTGTTTTTATTTTATAAAATCTTTTATTTTTTCATCAATCTTTTTATTTTTTTCTATTTCTTAAAATAAAAACTCAAAATAAATTAAAAATGAGCAAAAAGAAATAAATTACAAATAGATTTCAAAACACAAAGATTGAATGATTAGTTTTTAAAATGAGCAAAAAGGAATAATTTATAATTTACTCTTATAAATATACATATATGTAAAAGAAAAAAAAACCAAATCATAGTCAAAATTGATTTCTTTTATTAATATACACATTATTTTGAAGAGGAGAATGCTCTCTCCATAACCACAAGAATTAACACAATTGGTTAAGAATTGAGCTAGGACATAAGAAATCAAATTCAGGTCTTATCCTTCCTTCAATAGCTTGTGAATTTCTAATTTTTATGAGTTACTATAAAGATAAAGTTTTCGTGAGTAAAAAAGAAAAAAGAAAAGATCCTCGTCTATCTAAGCAGTAGTAGTACGATACAACACACCAATTCTAAGCAGCTGGCACGGTCTACAAAAAATGATGAAAAATATTCTCAGAAGTCAAAAACTACACAAATCACTCTATAAGTGAGAACTCAGAAGTCAAAAAGTGGAGCAACATCAGAATTACATTTTCTGATGGCAATACTGATAGATATATGGAAAGAGAGAGGATTGAAGCAAAGCAAAAGCAAAAGTCGAAATAAAAAGGGCAAAAGAGGGAGTCTCTTGTAAAATTATTACTTGGAGATGTACTTGCTTCTTTGCTTGATTTTTCCAACAATAAATTAATTAATTAATAACAATAATGCATTGCCTCACATCAAAAAAATGTAAGGGGATTTTTTATAAGTACATGGTATGTAACAATTTCATGCAACAATTGTCATAAGTACTCGTGACCCATTATTTATGCGTGCTTTTTCTGAACTTGATTGATTATATAGTCTTCAATTGTAGGCACAATTATAAAAACAATCACAATTATAATCGAAAATTATTATTTATCACGATAGCAAATTAACGATAATATCGATCGAAGTTGTGAATGTATTAATAATTGTTAATAAATTTATTCTAATTTATATATTTTTAATAATTTTAATAATTATGCGTAAAAGTAATATTGTTAATAATTTAATATCATACAGGTAATGATTGAATCTATTATTAAAAAAATTTAATAATATGTCTAATAATTTAATATCATACAAATAATAATAAAATACATTGCAACATCAAAATACACAATACACAATATTTTTTTATTTTTTTTAGAACAATAATATATTGGCTCTTCTTCGTTAAATAACAGCAATAACTACTATTACTGTTCTATAACGTTATAATTATCATTAAAATATTAATTTAAAAATCCACTATCCGTGTAGGATTTGGTGTTTTAAATTTAAATCTTGATAAATGAAAATGGATCTTATAATACCTACTTAAACAGTTAAAACCAAAAAACAAGAAAATTACAAAGATTAGGTTAAGAAAATTCTCTCTTTTTCTCACATGGATAATGTTGATATTGATAGTGCAGTACCCTACTGTATTGCAGCAACGTGCGCAAGTCACGGGACGAATATATTGACTGGAATTTATGTACTCTTCTTTTTCAAACAATCTGATTCCGGGCCATCAGAGAAAATGACTCATGATCGAGTCAAATTTCAAGGGTGAAAATAATACACGAGCCCCACGGTTTATATTAAATTATTTACCAAATCTTTGAAATATATATGATTGAAATCGATTATGATCACAGATATTTTCATCTATTTCTATAAAAGAATTGTTTTAAGAAGTTAATTATAGTATTATATATCTAATTATGTGCGAAATTAGCGGATTTATTTGCTCGCTATACTCATTTTATGCGAAATTTTTTTTACAATATTTTGTAAGTGGGTAATAAGCTTAATTTTTGGTTCAAATAAATAAAGTTTAATTAAGATGAAAGTGTTTTTCTATATTATTATTTTTTTGATTGAAAAAAGTATCAAATAAAATTCTTTTTTGAATAGTTTTGGATGATTTCATATGGTTTTGATACAAAAAAAATCAGCAAAAACATTTTTACAGCCAAAATTAGTTTATAAGAACACTTACAAATGTATTACTACATAGACTTTATAAGCATGAGTTTAGTTGCATGCATGAGATTCCATTATATGTTTCCATAACTTTCACCATACATGAACAACTATGATGTAGAGGTGAGATATTCTCAAAACAATGATGGAAAATTAGTTATGTTGATAAACGTTGGAGTTAAATATAACTCAGTCTTTACAGTTTAATGAAATTAATTAATTAATTCTTGTAGTTTTAAAAATTATATATTTAATCCTTACATCTCATAATCTGTTTATAACTTATTCCCTGCGTACTTTTTTTTTATTATTATTTTTTCAAAAATAAAATAAAGAAAAGAGAAGAAGTGTATGAAAGATTGGAAATTAAATTTGATTATGATAGAAAATATTTTTTTGAATAAGAAACCACTAATTGAATTTCAATAAACTATAGGACTTAATTTATAATCAACTCTAACGACAGTCCTCCATCTTTGTGGATCGAATTTAAAAAAGAAAAATGATTTCACCTTAAAGAAATCATTATAGAAAGCTAATGTAAAAAATGAGCAACTTCACTGATCATGTTCTTGTATACAAATTTAAATGTGTAAGCTAAGAAATACTGTAAACCATAATAAAGAGGAATAAAAACATTCTTAAGCAAATTGCAATGATGCTCTCTTTGAGTTTGAGGCTCTCACTAACCCATGAGAAAGTAGTTCTTCATCAGATTATGGCCCTTAAACTTTTCTGCTATATAGTTATGGGTGGCTAAGTGGGATTCGAATAATCACAAGTTCATGGGAGAAATATGTTCTTCGCAAGATGAGAGGCAACACCAATAATCCTTTGTTGATTTTGATGATCAAGCAAATAACGCTGGAACCTGAAAAAGAAAAAAACACTAATGGCTAGTACATGCATATATGTTCTTCCAATTAGATCCAAATCAAGAAACACAAAAAATTTTCTCAAAAAGAGAGGAAAAAGAAGACACAAATCAACTCACCTTATATATATATATATACACACACATACATACATATTACTTTGTTCAATTAATGTGGGTGGTTATATTCAATTTATTGGCAAAATAAATTAGTATCATCTCAAGAAATCAACACAATATGTTAAGAACAAACAACAACTAAATGTTGTATTTTTTGATACATCATTATGAATTGAATTAGTCAATCTGGTAGGTATTTTTAATTCTCTCATCTCTTGAACGCAAATACACAAATATGGAAAAAAAAATCCCTTCCCAATTCTTTAGAGCTGCGAGACACGTTAAAATTCAATAAAAGTCCTCACAATACCACCAAAAAAAAAAAAAATTAGAGGGAGGGTTCAAACTTTCTTATAATTTGTAAATGAAAGTAAATGTAAAATTAAGAAAAATCATTCATTAGGGCAAGAACTAATTAAACAACTTCTACATATTTATGCTAGCACTAAATTTCTTAATAAATAATTTTACCATTAAATAATATGCAAGCAGTTTTCTAGACTTGATGCACATGCGAAGAATAAGCAGTGATTTTAGGGCATGGAATCATGTTCAAGCAAATATAAGAGCTTTGTTGTTTTTGACAAACAAAATTCTAGTGGGCAATGCATGCAAAAGTAGTTCTTTCTCTCGTTTTTTAACAAAACAAGCCTTTCTTTCTACATATTCACTCTCTCTCTCTCTCTCTCTCTATATATATATATATAATTCGTGCCTGATTTTCAAGATGAGAAATGATACTCTATAAACAAGGGAAGACAAATATCAACAAGAAATGTAGAAGCATGAAAGGAATGAATAAAAACTTAGCACAAGAACGATCAATACACGCGCATATACATGCAAACACAGGAAAAAAGAAGAAGAAGAGAGAGTATGCTTGGCTCCTCGCACGCCACCGGCAAAGCCAATCTAAGACATAGGAGATTGGTCTTTGCTTGTGGCATACAGGGAGCCAGGCATAACCCGTTTCACCTTCTTCTTTGATGTACGTATCTCCCATCTTCTTCGAATTCCTTGCTCAGTTCCATTGAGTGACACCCATCTTATATCCTTCTTGCAAAGCAAACAAATTACATACAAAGAGATGAGCAATTCAGAATAAGAAGGTGACCGCAGAAGGCTTCTCTATATATAGAAAGCTATCGTAGGGAATAAGGAGTGGGATTTTGTTACCTCAAGAGAAAAAAATGCCACCTTATATAATGCCACAAATCCACTACTAACAAATACACATTTTTAAAATAAAATCTCAAAAGTGAATCCTAATTAAAGCAAAATTTTTAAACGCACACACTATAGCCACCACCACCGCCACACCAACCACCATTCCAAACTTTTTTTTTTTTTTAAGTTTCTTTTTGCAACTCTCTAGCCCTACTTCTTTTTGCTCAACAAACAAAATTCCACCTACATGGGTTTAGGTAAAGCATGCAACATTAATATAGGATTTTATATTTGACCTATGATGCTTTTTTATGTGTTAATATTCTTATCTCGATTTTGAGGTGACAGTTTATATTAATAAGTGATCGATATCGATGAGTTAATTTGCTTCGTAAGTTTATTATTTTATATATATATATATATATATATATATATATATAAATCTTAAGAGTTTATCAATTTGAATACGGAGGAGATTGTTAAAACTCGACCGAAGAGAATTTAGTTTTGATTTACGAAAACTTGACCAAAAAAAGAAAAAAAAAGTGTAGTATAGCCTCTACCACATATGAGCAGGAGATTCGAGAGAGTGATAGTCATCCTCTAAAAAGATGAAACCAGGGCCCCTACTCTCTCTTTGTTTTTCTGATAGATGTACACATGTTTAGTTTCTTTTTACTAGCTATGGTCAGCCTTGAAATGCTTTGATTTTATAGGTTTTGCCTTTCCCTTTCACTCTCAAATAAAGGCGTGATTGCTTTTCCATTCTGGAGCCAGGCTTGTCGGGCGCCCTTTAGAGGACTTTGGGATTCTTTTTGCCAACCAAAAGTCACCAATGAGACATTGAATCTAAACCCTACCTGTACTATTTTGATCTCTATACAGTTCCGTCCCTGTTTTGCCTTTGTTCTAAAATACATGAGAAGTGGTCCAATGCCCACCACTTCTTTCCTCATCAACTCTACACTTGTTCATCAAATTATTAAAACCTTTCTTTTCGAGGAAAAGATTGATGGCCATGCATGTTACCATATATCTTATTTTTGAATTCAAATTCTTTTACATTTTGGATGGGAAGGTACAGATCAGAGGGGAGGAAGAGAGAGAGAGAGAGAGAATGGTAACAAAAAGTTTAGCAGAAAAGAACTAATTTTATGTTAACAATGTTTGAAGTTCCTAGGATAAGATTTAATTTTTTGAGAAATAATTAATTAATTTAGCTCGTTTTTCTACATTTTCCACTAATTATATCACTGGGTTATACTTTTTCACATTTTTATAAAATGAAAGGCAAGTGGGTTATCCAAACTCCTGATATAATCTCCTAATATATTTTCTTTTTATTGATAGTAAACTTTTTATATTTGTAAACGATTATGAATTCAAATAATTTATTTCAAGTATTCGAATTTAGAAAAATATCTAAATTACATCTTTGTAAAAATAAATAATTTCGTCCGTTATAGTTTTATGAGTTTTTTTGTTCTTCTAATTATTAAATACTAAAATTAATCCTGACTGCGTAATCACTTATTATAAACTTAAGAGTTCTATCTACCTAAAAAAAACTCAATTTATAATTTATTCTTATACTAACAACATTTATATCGAGAGCAAAGCTTAAATTATTTTTCTCGAATTAACCAATTAAGTATGTAATGGGAAAATTAAGGGTATGATAATCCCTTGTTACTGTATTTGCATGTGTAAATAACATCATGATCTTATCCAACACTATCAACTGTCTGGTAGGCACCTGCAACCTTTTCTTAGAGTTCTACAAAAGTTCCAATTTAAGAACAAGACAATCACGTGGTAGACGTATCCTTGGGGGGCTTTTGAACGATCTATTATTCTAGCTAGGTCAAAGATCAAACAATGTTGATGATTGCTATTTCCATATTACATGTCCCTACTAATATAGTAACATTCATCATACTTTTTTTTTCATTTTTAATTTCTACTGAACAAGGTGGAATTAGGAATTTAAAGTTGGTGGAGTCGAAAAACATCTCAAGGTACAGAAATCATTTACAAACAAAAATATTATATGCAATAGTTGTAGATTTTGGACTGAAATATAATTATTTTTTTATTATCTAAAAGGTGTCCTTTTATAGAAAAAAGGGTAAAACTTGTATGAAATAGTTATTAAACTTTAGGGATTATTTTGAAATTTGGAGGAGCATTTGGTTTTAGTTAATTGAATTTATAGAAACAAAAAACTGAATCCGAATCGAATTACTAATAAGGAACTGATCATGTCAAATCATACTAGTCTTTTGTTAAAATTTGATTTGATTTGATTTTTAAGAATTTCAATAGATCAATCGAAAAGAAATTCATGATTTAGTTATTTGGTGTTTATAATAAGTTATTTTAATAATTGATATGTTGAATTGAATAGATAATAAGCTAGTTTATATCGATCCTAACGATGATTATTCATTCTTTTTATATTCATATTTTATTTTAATATTTATTAAAATTAATAAACTAGTTTTAGCTAGCTAGTAAAGAGCTAGACTTGAACCTCATCAAACTCGAACCACTCATCACAAACTTTGCCCTTAGGTGTTCCTAGCTAATTGATTATATATCTTTCTATCACTTTGGTGATGCTCTACACTTTTGATCATCAACTTTGGACAGACAAGAAATCTTTAAAGTAGGACCCATTTTTAATGGTCGGTCTATATGCTTGCTAACAAGCTTCATTTACACTGGTTATTGTGCCTGTGCCTGTGCCTTTTATTCATCAGTGATCTTCTTTCTCCTGTGTTAATGTTTGATGATGGTGATGATGATGTAGAATAACTTCTACAAGTTTCTTTAATTGTGGCAGACAGGCAACCGACTTTCATATGATGTTGGCAGAGCTTCTCTAGGTATTTGTAAAGTTAAGGATTGCTAAGGATGATCAAAAAAGGTTTTGGAAAATCTTAATAAATTATAAGAGTGAGTTCGGTGTTGCAAGCGAAATGCTTCTGTAAAATGTTTTCAGAAAGGAAAAAAAGAAAGATAATTTGATGATATTTTACTATTATAATTATTATAACAAAAGAGAGGTTCAACTCTTTTTTGTTTTTTTTTTTTCAAAATATCATATTTGATGTTTATCATATGAATCACAAGTACAAATTGGAGGATTGAAAATTTAGAATTTAGTAATTATTTCAAATATTGCCTATAAAAACTACCTAATTAATGCTAGGAAATGACATGATAAAAACATGGGAAGTTAGCACCTAAGAAATTTAAAAAAAACTGTGGGCATTGGAAACATATAGTTTGGATAATTAATCAAATATTTATTAATTATCGTGAAATTATTGGATATATTTGCTATACACATTTTATGTGAATCAACTAACAATAATTTGTAAGTGGAAAACGAGCAATTTTTGGTTAAAAATAAATAAATAAGAAAAAAATAAACAAAGTTTAATATTTAAGATGAAAGTGTTTTTTCAATTTTTTTTATTGAAAAGTGCATTAAATAAAATTCTTTTTCTGAATAATTTTGGATGATTCCATGCACTTTGATACAAAAAACATAAAAACCAACAATATTTTGTCTGTGGAAAATAAGCTTAATTTTCAGTTAAAAATAAGCAACCAAACAAACAAATAAAGTTTAATTAAGAGATGAAAGAGTTTTTTCAATTTATTTTTTTTAATTGAAATGTACATCAAATAAAATTCTTTTTAAGGTGATTTTGGATGATTTCATTAGTTTTGATATGAAAAACATCAAAACTAACTGCAAAAAATAATTACTTTTAAAATATGTAGACTTTATGACCATCGATCTATAGTCAATAAAATAATTACTTTTAAGAATATAAAGATTAATTAATTTGTTTCTTGAAACTAAATAAATTAATTTATAATTTTCTCTTAACTATCTCTTCCATAGTTAAACTGCAATTAGTGTACAAGAAAAATAAAAGTATTTTTATAGCAATAATTATCCAAGAAAAACAAATTTGTCACAGTCAAATCAAGCATTGTTCAAAAAGAAGAAAAGCGAAAAACAAAATACTATAAAGACTGAGAGAAAAGAATTTAATTAACATTCATGTTTCTATGTTGCAAGAATCTTTTTCAGCCCAATGCTCTTCAGCTCGAAGCTGTCAAGCTAACAATGGGTCAGTAACATTCAGTGAATGTGTTCATCAATTACAGGTTTCATAGTCCATGGATATGATCATGATGACCATGCTCAAAAGGGTACATATTTGCTTTCAAAAGCTCGGCAAACCAGTAGATTGCATGTTTAGTCGAGTGATAGTTTATTTGACTGGGGGGGGGGAACAAATTTTACCTATCCAGGAACAAGATGAGGAGAAAATGGAATAATTGAACTTGAAGTGACATAAAATGAATTTAGGAGTCCTTATGGTGAAAATATATAGTTTTCACTTTTCAAGGTGATTTTAGTACACCATCTAATACAAAACATAGTATGTTAGTTTGAACGAAAATGGTTTTTGTTGTTTACACAAGTGGTTTTGAATTCAAGTTTTTATTTATATAGAAAGCTTTTTAAATAAAAGTTTTTGGACAAATTAACGAGAAATTAGTCTGGATATATTGTCTCGTATCTTTTTTTTATAAAAATGCTAATGATAAAATTCAAATTTGAAATTTTTTGATTGAATGAATTTTCTCTTTTTTCATCTGAATCAACGTATTCTTTGAGGGTCGTTGTTAAAAGATTGATTATATCTTTTTTATGTACAAAAGCTATTGTTAGAGCATTCAGGGTTATCACATTTTATTATCCGAAATTAAGGTATTAGGACATAATTACAAAAACTTAATAATCTTGAGGTTTTATGAAAGCAACTTAATTAATTAACTGAAAATTGATAAAAACAAAAAGAGACATACTGAATTTGAATTAGTGATCTAATGACCATAGATATCATACCGATGATTTGAGCTTCAGCATTGTAGCAAGCAAACACGAAATAATTTATAAATTAGTCCCATTAGTTTTTAAAAATGAATTAAATAGTTTTTTTTAAGTTTTAAAAACTAATTAATTAGTCTATCTTAACAAAATTAACTTGTTAGGCGAGACTTTAGAAAACTTACAAAAACTCACAATTATTTTATGTTTAATTATTTAATTTAATTTTAATTTTGAGTTTCGAACTTGTGACCTTTTGATTATTAATATTTTGATACTATGTTAAAAAATTATCTCAACTGAAAAACTTAGTTGTTAGATGAAATTTTAGAAATGGTTTTATATTACTCTCTAATAGTTTTTAAATTTCTTTGTAATTTAAGCTTTTTTTGTTCTTTTTTATTTTATTTTGATTTTTTGTTTTTAAAAAATATAAAAAGTAAAGAAATAATTAAGAAATATGGAATGATTGATGAGAACAAAATTATATTTTTTAAAATAAAATAATATTAAATTAATCGTGATCAATATTGGTTAAAAAAGAAAAGAAAAGGATTAAGTAGTTTTTTTAAAAAAAAAACAAAAGAGACTATTTAATTTATTTTACAAAACTAGAAAGACTAATTTATAATTTACTCTTAGTTAAGGTTGTGAGAGATGAATTTTTATGGGCCAGAAAAATGCAACCCTTACATTATCCGAGAAAAATAGTCAGATCGATATGACTTTTAGTTTAGGTGTCTGTATCATGAACTAAGAAAGCAAGGAATTCCCTTTTTAATGCACTATACATATTTAGCGTGTGGAGGTGGGGCCAGAACTGGGTTTTGAGATTGAAGTGGCAAACAAAGAATTACTCCGAAAAGCCAAATTAATTATTGCTAATTTCCTAGTCAAAGGATGGAATTCAAAAGAAAACAACTTTTTAGGACGATGATTAAGATTAATTAAGTTACAATTCATGAACATCATGATTGCCTCCTACCATAATCTTATCTTATACAACAACATTAATTATGAGATGAGTAGAGATTGATAGCAATGCAATGGGAACATGTTCACTAAATTAATTTGGACAACATCATCATGTATTTTCTATAGAAAAAAGGTTATTGAAGTCCAAGTTGGAGAATTGTGAGATGATGTTACTTTTTTCTTCTTCTTCTTTTCTTAATGGTAGAAATGATATTATTTTTATCTTTTTTATGTTGAGTAAACTATAAATCAGTCATTGTCATTTAGAGAAACGGATTTTTTAGTTTCCTTTCTCTAAAAAAATAATTATTTAGTTTGTTATGTTTTAATTTCATCAATAATTTAAACGTCATTTCATCAGCTTTTTATTATATTAGTAATTTTATTCCTAAATTACCTTTTATTTGATTTTTGGCTGATGATAGAGAAAGAGAGTGGATGAAAGAAAAAAAAAGAGCAATTTGAGAAAAAAAATCTTTAATTTAACAAAAAACTGATAAAAGGATTAAGTTAATAATGAGAGTAAACCATAGGAGATTAAATGATTAGTTTTTAAAACAAGAAAGACTAATTAATTAATTTGTTTATTGAAATGAGAGGGATTGATTTACAATTTACTCTTTTTATGTTTGTTATAACAATAATTAACTAAGAAGAGTATTTGGATTTTTTTTTTTTTTTTTTTTTATGAATACTAGAAAGTACTTAATATCTTAAGTAAAGCCACAGTACGCTAATATTATCGTATACAATACTAATTTAAAAATTAATCTGAAAACCCAAAATTTTGTTACTTCTAGAAGAAAAATATCTAAATGATTAGTTTTTAAAACTAGAGAGACTAATTAATCCATTTCTCAAAATAAAAGAGACTAATTTATAATTTAATTATGTTTGTTATAAAAATAATTATATGAGAAGAATATTTGTATACTTTTTAATAAATATACCCATTTGAATATAGATGATCTATTTAAAATCTGATCAGAAAAATACATAATATCCTAAACTAATGCCGTAATACTCTAATATTATCGTATATATTACTACTTGAAAAATTAATCTGAAAAACCAAAATTTTGTGAATTCTAGGAGACAAGTATCTAAATGCAATATCTTGACTCATAATAAATCATCATTTTATCTTAGGTTTTTTTTTAAAAAAAAAAAAGAAAGAAGAAAAGAGTGGGTAAAATTCAACATTGGATGCCAGCCAAAAGGCCCAAAACCCAAGTTCATGAACCCATTGATTCCCATTTGTGGAATTCCAAATTACTATTAAACTATATTGGAAAACAAACGATATCAATGAAATAATCACTCGAATATTTTTGAAAGAAACACAAAACGGCCAGATGAACCAAATTTTTTGGTTCGGTTTTTCAGTTTTCAATTAAAAATCAATTTTTTTATTGTAAAAATCAAATTATTTTAATTTTAAAAAATATCAAACTTGCATAATCAAAGATTGCATATTTCACATTTGATTTTACAAGAAAATTGTGTATGATTATTATTATTTTTCTATACTAAATTTGTTTCTATTTATATTATAAACTAAATTAGTTGGGCTTCTCATTATTTTTTCAATCACGCTATAATTGGTTTTTTATTAATTTTTCATATTCTTTTTTTAATCTATTTATTTTATGCATATTTTATTGCTGAATATATAATATGAAAAATTCAATTTTTAATTTATGTTTGTGCCAATTTTAATACATGGAGACAATTTTTTTTCATGAGGTTTTAGGATTCACCCACACATAAATTTGTGTATTTATAAAGAATTACTTTATCATAGTTTTTTTTTTTTTGTGAGTCAATATAATATAATCAATTATTTTATTATTTCAATAAATAATTAATGAAAAATATTTCTATTTTAAGTAGAAAAAAATCATTAAAGCTATTTTTCTTTTATTTAAACCCGTAGGCACTTCTTTGATAAAAAAAAAAAAAGAGCTTGGGTATGTGTTTAAAAAAAAAAAACTAATTCGGTTTTCGGTGGAAACCGAATTTGAAAAAAAAAAACTGAACCGAACCGAAATAATTTCGGTTTTGTTTTTTTTTTTCAATTTTTTTAAAAACCGAATCGAAATTGCTAATTTGGTTCGGTTCGATTTGGTTTTTCGGTTTTAACCGAATAATGCTCACCCCTACGTGATTCCCTTACAATCTCAAATTTCATATTGCACATTTTAGAAAAATGAAAATAGAATAAATGTAATTTTAATTTAGACTCCTTATTTAATAAACCTACTTTCCTTTTTAAATCTTTTTTTTTAAAAAAAAATTGAGAATAGTTGGATCGAATTGTCTAAATATAATTAATAAACATTATATCGAATTTGCCAAATTATTTACACAACATGTAATTTACTGGTTTGATACAAACACAATGCCTCAAAATGGGGTTTTTTTAAATGTAAAGAGAGAAATATTCTTATATTCCATGAAAAGAAATATTCTTCTTTTTTTTGTTTTTTATTAACTCACTCAATCAAAATTATTAACAAAATTAATTTATTAGGATTTAAATATGTAATTTCTTATTGTAAAAAATCATTATTATTGGATTACAAACGCTTTGATAAAAAGAAATATTCTTAGATTCCATAGACTAGGCACGTTTAGTAAAACAAAAAGACTTTGGTTTTGCAGTTTTGGACATTGCAAGAACAGCTGTAATGACGATCTTAACAAAGATTTCCACAGAATTGTCTGTGTTTGTCTGTTTATCTCTAGCAATTTGCCGTCTTGTGATGCCCTCAAAACTACTACACCACCACTTCACTGTATCTCTCATCTTCAGTCTTCGTTGCCATCATCACCAACATGAGGCCTCCCAAAGCAATGGCCCAGGTTAGTACGTCTAAACCTTTCTACTCATTTCTTGATCTACCTTTATTTTCCTTTTTTTGAATGTTAAGACTGTCAGTATCAATATTGTTTCACTTAATTTCTTGAAGAAGATATGTCCCTTTTGATTGAATAATTTTTTTTTACTATGTACATATACCAAGAGTGGCATTCTTCAGAGATACGTTACATTGCAAAATGTGGTAGCCAGCTAGTGGGAACTAGGAAGTAGTCTAAAATGTTGGAAACTAAAAGTGCAAAACAAGCATATATAGATGTTAGTCCAAGGTCGATGTGATTCCTTATAACCCACTTGAACATAGTTCTAAATCATGATTGTTATAAAGTAACAACCATTATTTAATGGAATCGAGTATGTTCGTTATCGTTATATGCTATTATAAGGAGCACAATGACGTTTTACATAAATAATGACATTATACATCTTTACTATTACATAATAACTTTATTTGATGAATAACGATTATTATATTAAAAAAAATTCTTCATATTTTATTATTGGTTGTCTGATTTTAAACTAATAGAAATATTATTAACTTTTTCTTGAAATAAATTCAATTATTGTTGTATGGTATTAAATTATTAGAGATGTTATTATTATGCTTAATTAATAAAATTATTAAAAATATATAAATTATAATAAATTTATAACAACTATTAGCATGTTAATGTATTCATAATATCGATTGTCACTATCGATATTTTACTACCACGATAAGTTGCGACTTGTATTTACAATCGCAATCATTTTTATAACTCATGCATCCTTGGCCTAAAACTATAATGTGGAATATAGGGCATGACTACATTGGTGAAATCTAGCCTGAGGATACCCTAACCATTAAAATAAAACGGATATTGGCAAGCATATGATCATTCCTTTCAACATTTGGCAATAAGCTGATCAGACTAACCATTAAAATAGAGAAGATATTGGCAAGCGTATGATCATTCCTTTCAACATTTGGCAATAAGCTGATCAGGGTATTTATCAGTTTCGTAAATCATACACCAAAGTGTACAAGTGTTATCCATCTAATTAGTATTTGCTGGTAATTCTGATTAGTTTCCAGTGCCCTTAATATACAGTCATGTTTCAGAACAGTGTTTAAGAATTTAACATTTTGTTGAAGACCCTTTTTGGATGCTGATTTAATTGTCAAGTAAACACAATTTAATAATCCTTAACCTTATGGTTAGTGAGTCATTCATTCAAGAATATGCACTCTATTTTGCCCAAAAGCTTTGGAGGTTTGTCAAGATTTCGTAGCCAATAGACCTGTCTGTCTATGCATATCCGGCTAGGGAAAAAACTAGCTTCTAGAGGATCACGGTCGAGTTGCTGAGGAAACATCAATTCCATGATTTCTCTCCTACTCTATTCCTTGCACAGAGAAAAAATTTACTGTGAGTGGTACTGTTATTCGAGTGTAACAGCCATTAAGACATTGATGATGATGGCTAAAATGATGATGGTAATTGGAAACAAACATATTCTATATGTTACTAGTTTGTCATTTCTCTTTTGGCTCGCAGGATTCGTACAAACGTGGCCGAGAGGATCCATACTTTGCTGGTCTGTTAGGATGTAATGACACTAGCAGCCGGAATATTTCTCGGTCAACATCAGATATTGGTGATTTCATAAGTAGAAGTTTTTCAGATGTCTCTGGAAAGTCTAAGGACTTGCCAATACAGGATTCAGTATCAGATGTTCTTGAACCCTTAGACCCGACCGCATTTGGGACGTCGTCAAGGATTCCTGGATCAACTTCATTCGAATTCCCAAGTTATCAATCTGATTCGAGCTTTGAGTTTGGTGGTACAGATTTTATCGTGAAAGAATTCAGTCCTCATACCTCTGAAAGAACCGAAGAAAACCAAACTGTACCTGTCCTAGCAAGCGTACCTAGAGTTGAAAAATCATTTGTTCTGAACAAAAGGAAATCAAACCTGTCAAAGATTCCGCTTCCTCAGTCAGCTGCATCATTTTATAATGGGTTTTCCCCACAATTTGAAATTATGGAATCATGTGATATCACCATGAGGCTAAATTTATACTTAAAAGCCAGAAAGGATGATGTGAGAGCTGGTGTTCCTGGAAAATTCTTGCATGCTGTAATTGGGCAAGATGTCTCAGGTAATTTTCTTTGTTCTACTCTGGAAACACTTTTGACAAACTTCTCCAATTCTTGACGTTTTTCTCTCCCAAAATTCTGTCTTTTACTTGTCATTGGTTTTTAATGCACCGTTCTTCTGCATACACGGCGATGTTTGCATTAACTTAGCCTTCTAGAACTTGAGTATGGGAATAATGCTAGAACTAACTTTGTCTACTCCTACTTGCTTGAAGCTCAGGTTCTGACAATTCTAAGCTATTGTAAAGAACATGTGATTATGATTATGATCCGGCTTTCTTTTTCCTTTTTTTTTTTTTAATAGATGCTGGATCCTTTGCTTCGATCATCATGTATGCTTTCTACTTGAACGTGACGCTCGAAAGTGACCAGTTTTGCACTGTACCTATCATTAATATGAAGAGGGCAGACCTAAATTCTCATGCAGAACTGAAATGGTTGCTGGATTCATGTCATATTGATGTGTCATCCTTAATTTTTATAGATGAGGTATTCTCTGCATCGATTACAATGCTTAATTAAAAATATGTTCCCTCGTTCTTCCTTTCTTCAAAATTATCCTCTAGTACTTCTAGTTTAACCAACTTATTCATGTTAAAAGTATTCTGTTCTGAATGGCTGGTTACATTGAACAGATCGACCTGTCATATTATGATCTGTTTGGGTGTCTGAAGCTAGTTCTTCTAAATGGACATAAGCTCCCAACAAGACAAGAGGTAGTGATTCATTGGATAAACTGCTTATGTTTCTATAACAGCCACTGGTAAATTAGAATGATTTTTTTTTTTTTTTTTGTCTTCCTAAACAGGCATTGAAAGAAGCGGTCGTTGAAGTTTTCAATTGTGGAAACGTGCGTTTGTTAGCTCAGGGGTTACCTTTTGACATTTCTCTTCTTTCAAAAGTTTCTCATAGAGTGAAATGATTAAAATGCCTGTCTCTCTGCTTTACAGGGTGAATCAGTGTATCCTTGGGTTGAGACTATTACTCTTGGTCAGGTATGATGAGGGAAACTATTCATTTGTATTGCTTTTTGTTGTGGAGATAACTGATGAGCACCGAGTCTGATCGAAGCTATTTTGCGTCAGTTTCATGCAATATGAGGACTTGTTTTCTTTTATTGTAAACTTTCAAGTCTTTGTTTCTCCTATATATCATTTTGTCTTCCACACCAATTCCCATTTGAAGAATGAAAGCCTTCCAAATTCTGATTATTAGCCTACTTTATGGACTATGATTCACATGTTAGATTAATCCTATGTACCAATAAAGTATAGAACTGGGAGGCAATCTGGGAAAAAAAATGCCATCCAAAGTTCTCTTTTATCACAAGTTCCAACTTGGAAAAGTAGGAACATAACATTTTCGTCTTTGCGAGTGCTTTCTGCCATCTTCGTTCTTTAACTTCAGCGTTATCACTCTAAACAAGTGTGTGATTTGGCTATGGCATCTGTGCAGGGCTGCTCATGCTGTACCCTTATTGCTGAAAAGTTATTCCTGACTTCACCTGAGCTTTTGGCTGGGATAGGATTCAGTAGACTTTTGGTACCTACTGCTTCTATACGCAAAAATTTCGATTGTCGTTTAGTTTCTTCTTTTTCTGCTCTATCATGATTTACTTGTTAGCCCATTTTGTTTATGTATTCCCAGTACCATCACATGCTTACGAAACTATGTATTGTATAGTAGTGCAAACTCTATAGCAAACATGCCTGAGGGTTTTCTCTTCATATCTTCTTCGTCAGTTTTATTTGAACAACTTTCAACAGAATCTTGTCCTTTTAATTTCATTCATTTCGTTTTATCTTCTGATAGACAAAAGGACTAACTGCTGTGGACAAATGTATGAATGTTTCTGTTCAGTCTTGTCTTTCCAACCAAATTTCTCCTCTTCTTAAGTCCGGTTGTTTTTTGATCAGTTAGCTGGCATCCTAATGGACACTGGAAACCTTACTAGTCCTCATTGTACTACCGAAGACAAGTACATGGCTACTTTGTTACTCAATGGTGCCCGTCGTTTTGGATCCAATGGTCTATTCCAGATTAGTGAGTCTCTTTCGGCCTGAACTTCTAATTTTTATTCAAAGTTCGCTGCAATTCAAAGCTTCTGTTTATGCGGTCTTTTCTCTGATCTTTTAGCTAAACTCTGCTTTTGCAGTGAGGTACAAAATGTATGATATCTCTGATCTTAAAGTTGTTGACATATTGCGCAAGGAGTTCAAGAAGTGGACAAGAGTAGGTCTGGACTTTCGCTACTCTCCAAAGTTATAGCTTGACATGCAACTGATTTATTGCAGTGTCAGAACAAGTTTTCATTATTGGTCTGAGAAACATATAGTTTTCACCTTGGTTGTAATAAATTTTCTCATTTTGTTTCTTATGCCTTGTCATGACATATGTTTTTCTCCGAATAAAGCCTTGCATATATGCTTGTAATTTAGCAGGTAAGCCAGATGCAACTGGTTCGAGAGTAATGGTGTCGAATATCGGGATGAGTTCCATTGGCATATCACTGGAGCAATTTCTTGCTCATGAACATTCTTCAACGGAAGAAATCAAGTATTTTCAGCGTGAGTAACTAAGTACACATTTAGACTCAAAATCTAATACTTCACAGAATATTTTACTTGGGGGCTCATGCAAATGCAGAAATGCTGTTTGTTCTTGTGCTTTCTGCTGTTTATTGTTAGCTTTTACAATCTCTTCTGGTTATAAACATTTCCTCCATTTTTTTATATGATGGAAATTTGACTATAAGTTGCTAATTGTACTTTGTTGTAAAATCTCAGAGTTGGAGAAGCTTCGGTTACTCATGATTGTATCGGGGTATTATGATGCTGAAAAGAACTTCAAGGTCTAAAGAATTCTTGATTCTATCATTTGTTTGTTCTTTTACTGAATTTTTACTTACGCACATCTTTTGTGTAACTTAGAGGGAGATACTGGTCTCTGCTGAATCTATGGAGCTGATGAGGAATCTGCTCTCCTTCTTCAATTCAAATGCCTCCCATCTGCCACTCAAACCTATACATCAACCAGGTTAGTTTTTCTGCATTAATCTGTGGAGGCCATTCAATTCTAAAAAGCAAATATTTTTGTTTTTTCGGCATTCGATGCAGGTCCGCTACTATACACTAAAACCCTCTCACTTGTTGATCATCCAGGTCTCAGACATGACATGAAGGCATTTGAGATTGACAAAGTTACATCAAGAAAGACTATCGAGCGTCTGTTGGAAGAATTTGGTGGGGCATCAAAAGGCTAATGGGTTCAAGAACAAGAAGACAGCAAGAATTCAGATACAAATTTGTAACTTCAATATGGAAATACCTAAACCAAATTTGGTGGGTATTCTATTAAATTCAGACAAATGCAGCTGGCCATGGCTGCGGAATTCATTATGATGTATCCCTTCCAATGCATAATTAAAGCTGGTGTTCGTATTTTTGTTCGGTTCTGCTCTTCAAATTTGATAGACCTTGTTTTCTTTTGCCAAGACTACATTCAATCCTGTCACTACAGGCTCATCCTAGCATAAACATACAATGGAAAATGTCAAGAATCCACTCAAGAAAAAGAAGAATTTATTGGAAGGAATGGACCATTTTTTTCCCCTTATTTTTACTTTAAACTGAATGCAAGCTATGAAAGAGGAAGATTACCAAACTGAGAGGGCGTTACATGGCCTGAGCCATAATATTCGCGAAGCCAACATCCCTGGCCTCCCTGCAATAAACGCCTCCGAATATTCTTGAAACCCACAGCTATGGCTTCTTGCCATTCAGTTAAGAGTATTTCATAGCAGCGAGTTTGACAAGTATATCCTCCCTATATTTGCACCATTTTTCCTCTTGGCTTGACTCTTTCTACCTCAAAAGCCGCTAGGCGAACGCTGGGGTTAATGACCTCAAATATACTGTTCTTTTCCATTAAAGAGATTGTTTCTATGGACAAGATAATGAAGTCTTGTTGCTTGGCAGAAAGGAATTCTTTTCTGTTCTGCAGTTGCAGATGAAGATCCTGAATCTGTTTGTCCAATTCATAGATTTCAGAGGTGGTTGTAGAAATCTCAACTTCCAATAATCCACATTCATCAAGGACCCTTTGCAAATCTGCTTTCACCTTTACTTTTTCCTGAACTTGCTTTGCTGCATCAGTTTTCTTCTCTCGAATGGGGAGGAAGTTGGGATGCCAATGGAGAGTAGAAAATGGGGAGAAATCTAACAGAAAACAACCAGTGGAGGAGTGAAATCGGTAGATGATAAGGGCTTTTGCTCTTCTGCTTCTTGACGATTTGCTAGCTTGCCACTCTCTCTCTTGCAGTAGCCGGTGGTCAGCTTGGCGCTGGAGTCTACTTTTCCAAAAAAAATAAAATAAATAATAATAATAATCTAATAACTTAGTCCTCAATGTTTGAAAATTTGTAACTTGCTCCCTTGATTAATGTTATGTTTGAGTGCATTTTCCATGATTTATGGAAATTACCAATTGGAGTATAATTTAAAAGTTTTTTGTTCCATTAAAAAAATTGTGATCAAAATAGTTAACATTAACAACTAAAACATGTGTCTAAGAAAATTTATTAATTTTTTCTAAATACATCTTATCAATATAAAATATATATTCTTAAGATCATCATTCTAGAAGAGATTTAGTTTGGATTGATGCATAAGTTGGTCTGAAAATACCATTATCATTGGTAGAAAAGAATACAAATAATTTGCAAAAACATTTTATTTTAGTCCATGTATTTTTTAAAAAAGTTATTTTGGTCTTCAAATTTTTTTATAAAAACATTTTGGTTTCCTAATTTATAAAATTTGCACAATCAAATTCCTATATGTTTTTTTTTTTTTTTTTGACAAAAATAATAATAATGAGTATTAGTAGAGTGTAAAATGTTACTCAAATTATACACACACACACACCCCCTTATCCACCTTAATATGCATTTAACATTTGTAATGGGTATTTGTTGTGTTAGATAGAACGGGTATAGTCCATTGCCTTTGGTAGGCTCAGACCACAGATTTTGGGCTTTTCACTGTTCTTTAAATTGATCTCTCTCATAATCCAAACTGGATCCTTAGTCCAAAACAAAGCCCAAATATTACCTTCCAACCCAATTAACATTCGCAGGCCCAATTACTCACTCTCTTCCCTCTCTTCTTTCTCCCTCCACTCTGTAAACTACTTTTCTTCAGATCCCGACCAAATACCACTACAAATCAAACACCTACTAGATAATGAATTCAATTCCCAGATAAAATAAAATAAAATAAACACTGAGATCCAGCTCCTTTTCCACTCACTCTTAAATCACTACATTTCTCTGCAGATCCAACCTTGGAATTCAATTCCACCCATTTCATGACTTCCATTAGATCCTGATTCTCAAAAAACACACAGCAGAGAAATGGATTCTCTTCCGTCCCTATCGGGAAGACAACTCCACCATTCCAATTCCTCCAATTCGTCCAATACCAACTCCCCTCTTAAAAATCCCTCTCCGATACCACTAACATCCAAAACCTCTCTTCCATCCTCAACAACCCTCACTCCTACAAATCCTCCGATCCCTCTGCCTGGCTCGGCTGGTGGTCCTCCTCCACCGCCGTCGCTCCTCCCGATTTCACTCCCATAATCCCAAAACAACCACAACCGGATATCTCCCGATCCGATTTCCTCCCTTACTTATCCTCCATCTCCGATACATACTCCCGCTTCGAAGACATCAAAAACCACTCCAAAAATAACGAACAAGAGCAGGAATCCAAATTGGATTTGACTACTGTAGAATCCAATTTGGATTTGGCTGCTGTAGGGCAAGGCGAGGCGCTTGTTGCGTGTTTAAGGGAAGTTCCGTCTCTGTATTTTAAGGAGGATTTTGCATTGGAAGATGGGTCCACGTTTCAGGTGGCTTGTCCGTTTACTCATGCGGCGGCGAATTTGATGTTGCAGGAGAAGTTGAGTCAGTATTTGGATGTGGTGGAGTTGCATTTGGTGAAGGAGATTTCGTTGAGGTCGAATTCGTTTTTTGAGGCGCAAGGGCAGTTGGAGGATTTGAATGGGAAGATTGTGGAAGGTTGTGAAAGGATTAGGGAGTTGAAGGAGGCTATTAGGGTTTTGGATAAGGATTTGGTTGAGTCGGCGAGGGAGATTCATGAGTTGAATGTTAGTAGAGGGAATTTGGTTGCTTTGCAAAATAAGTTGAGGCTTATTTTGTATGTTAATCAGGCTCTTTCCACTCTTAAATTGGTAAGCTTTTGCCTGACCCTTTGCTTGTTTTCATTGGAATTAAGTTGAATTGTTAGAAACCGCCTTTAATTTTTGTTTTTGGTATTAAATGAAGTGAGAACTAACTGATAGGAAGTAATGTATGATCCTAAGTTATGTTATGTTATGTAGGCTCTTTCTGCACTTAAATTGGCAATTAGCATTGCCATTTTGTTTGTTTTGGCTTGTTTCTTGGGCATAAGTTTAATTGTTAGATATGTTATAAAAGTTCGTGCCTTGAGTTTAGGTTGTGGTTTTCTTGATGATTTGTAATGGAAGTTGATTTATTTATTTGGTCGTATACAGCTTGTTGCATCCGCCGATTGTGCGGGAGCATTGGATGTTACTGATGATTTGCAGCAGCTGCTGGTATATTTCTAATTTTGGTGTAATTAGAAGTTTTGATTGTGGTTCATGCTTATTCTTTTGACTTCAATCTTATGCATTCTTTGTCTTTGATAGAATGGAGATGAGCTGACTGGTCTACATTGTTTTCGTCACCTACGGGATCATGTGGCAGATGCAATAGATTCCATAAACAGGTATCTTTTTTTTTTTCTTTCTAAAAATATGACTGCATCAGTTATTTGCCAATTTGAGCTGCAATTTGCATTGGTTCTGTTATTTAGCTTGTTACACTCTTCTTTTTGTTTCAGTTGCAATATTGATCATGGGAAATTTTTTCCATATGAGGTGATATGCTGTTGTGTGTTTGAGGGAAAAATATATTGGGGAGTTTCAGAATTTCTTCTGGTTAGGTGTGGGTAGGAAGCTCCCTTGATGCATATTATAATTGTCAATATGGTTTTGGGGACAGATTTCGTCGTGGGGATTGTTGGGAGTCGAGGCAGAAGGGGTGGTTCTTAAGTTGGACTCGGAGAAACCTTATGACTGAGTTAGTTACAGTTTTCTGATGAGTGAGGTCAACTGAAAGGATGGGTAGTGCTAAGGGGAAGGAGTTGAATTTATGGCAATTGCTGTTGGATAAGCTTGGTGTTCTAGTTTTATTGGACTTTTACTTATGGGGCTTTATGGGTTGCTTTAACTTACATTTAATGAGATTGGTTGATCTCCTAGTGCTTTGTGGATGCCTTATTCTTTTATTTGTGTTTGCAATTTCGCTGGTTATCAGTTCAAGTAGGTAATAGTGATAAATTTATTGCTTGTTGCGTAATGCAATACAAAATGTCATATCATTTAGTTTAGAGAGGGAATGTATATCCTTTTGTTGGTCTTTTGTAACTTGTTACATTTATTTTTGTAGCATTCTTTCTTCAGAATTTATGCGAGCTTCAATACATGGTGCTGGGGATAAAGATTTGCTTCTTTTATCCAAAGCAAAAGCCAGGGATTCCATATATATGAATGGAAAAGATGAAGAAGTAAGCTTAATTTCACCGGTCCAGTTTCGTCTTTTGACAAGAACATGTGATTTTTTTTGGTGCTCTAGTAAGATTATGTTTGTTCAAATGATGCTTCCCCTTGAATTTCATGTCATCTAAGACATTTAATACAGAACGCAAATTATTTGGTCTATCATGGCCATGACTCATGAACTGAATTTTATCTTAAGATCCTCACTCTAGCACATTTTAAACTGGACCTGTTAGTGTGCTTGTTCTCCTGATATTTGCCCCTTTCCTGATTTCTATTACTATGAAGCATATAAAGTTGGAATAAGTGGCTGTTGTTGGTTTTGCCCTTGACTTCTATTAATTGTATCTTATCTTTCTGATGCTTGTGTGTTTGCTTAATAAGATTTTTCCAACTGTTCTCTTGAGGAGTTTTTAATGACTCGTATTTCTATTTTAGTTTGTCTTCTTTATTAAACTTCTATGAGTAATATCTGCAGTTCTTTATAAGTGGATCGTGTTTAGCAGGTTAAGTTGGATGACGAAGAGACCTCTAATTTTCGAGATCGTCTTCTCCCTCTCATTGTTGGGTTGCTTAGAACTGTAAGTGTTGTGTGTAGTTATTTTGGGATGAAAATAACTGCCGTTGTTACAAATTCTACCTTTTTTGTTGTTCTTAAAGATTTATGTAATTTTAATCTTGCTGTCTACTCTTTGGTGCCATATCTTGGTTCTTGTTTTAGGAATTTATCCGAATTACCCAACATGAATAAACTTTAAGTCATTCAGGCTAATAGAAAAGTTTTACTTAACTGAAAGAAATAGGAAAGAACTGTTTGATTGATGCAAACATGAGCTTAAATACCAGAGTTTAAATGTTGTTTCCAGTGTCAGTTGGATAAATTTCTGATTCAACCTGTTTCCAATACGAATGTCTGTTAGATCTTGCTTCTCCTAGTTGTTAACTTGTTATTAGGACTGCAATTTATGCTTATCAGTAATGATTATGGTAAACTGGTTGATTCTGTTTAGTTTAGCACTGGACTCAGTGTTTCAATGATTGCTTTCAGGCCAAGCTCCCCTCTGTGCTGAGAATATACCGAGATACCCTTACAGCCAGTATGAAAACCACCATTAAGAATGCTGTTGCAGAGCTGCTTCCTGTCTTTTTGGCCCAATCTCTGGAGTCAGATCTCACATCTGCTGAGCGGACAGCTGATACAGATGGTGGGTACATAATACAAGATTTTAACATTTTTCCCCCGAGGACATTAATTCAGAAGTTGTTGTCTATTTTCTTTAAGATGATTTTTTGGTTGCAGATGAGTAACTTGTTATGAGTTTCTGCTCCTTTCTCTCTCCTTTTCTTACACTTATGGGTGACTCAGGTGGAGGTTTATCACTTGCAAGCAAGTTAAGGAGCTTGTCATCTGAAAATTTTGTGCTACTTTTAAGTGCTGTTTTCAACATAGTACAGGTAATGTATACTTCACAAGTATTTTCCTAAACATCTAGTTATCCAAGCTTCTTGATGATGTCCTGGACATGCTTGGATATTTCCTTCAACTCCCAGATGTACTGGGCAGCTGAATGTAATGAAGGTGGATTGTTGCCACAAAACTCCTTTTTTTTTCTTTTTTTTTCTTTTGGGGGGGGGGGGGGGTTGGTTTGGTGCATAGTTTCTGAATTAGGCCTTGCTCAAAAGAGTTCGTGGTCTACAAGCTGTACATTATAATGAGAAATCTATCTTACGTACTCAAAATGAAGTGCAGTGTTTCCTTAATCTGTGTAATTATAGAGCAGCTCGTGGTTGGCAACCAGACCTGTTTGTGATTTGATTGATATTAGTGAACTATTCATATAATTATGGCACATAAATAAGCATGGAGTGCCCAGGTCAGAATTATATGTTTGTAGTAGACTGTAGTTTAGCCTGCTCCTTAGCCTGTACAATGTTTCGAGGTTGATTGGATGGATAGACTGGTGACAAATTATGGGGGCCTTGAGCCCATTTTAGAAGTTAGTCAAATTTTAAGACGAAGGTGGCAAACTTTGAAGAAACTGTGACACGTATCATATGCCAGTGCTCTGAAGTGCTGAGGGCATGATGTAATCAGATGCATAGTTTTTTTCTGCTTCCTTTCCTTGGTTTGGGGTTTTATTCTTCAATATTTTTTTTCATATATTTGAAAACTCATAAACTTAGGTTGCTACCTTGCTAGTATGCTTCAGTTGGACTTAGGTTTGAATTTTGACTTCTTGATTATCATAGACATAAATTGATTGCTTGATTCAAGCCTGTAGTTTTCCTCTTTATATGCCATTTAAGTAAGAAGTAATATGATTTATTTTCTTTTAGTGAATGCAGGCACACTTAGTGCGGGCTGCTGAAGTGAAAAAGGCAATTGAGTGGATTATGTGCAGTGTTGATGGACACTATGCTGCTGATTCAGTTGCTGCTGCAATTGCAGTTGGTGCAGCAGCAGCTGATACAGCTCATGAGAGTGATGGTCAAGGCGGTTCACTTCTCCCCTTTTCTCCACAGAGAAATGCTTCCAACCTTGCTTCATCTCAGCTGAAAGCAAATGATGCAGCAAGCCCCTCAAATATTTCAAGAAATTTTAAGTAAACTCTTGTCCCTTTGTTGTGATAGTTTTAAAATGTTGCTGTAAGAGTAAAACTATATAAAACAAATGACATGGCACGAATCACTACACAACAGGAAAAATGGCTGGCTTATAAATTTGTACAACTTTATTGTTATATGAGTGCATTTGTGATATTTTCATGGGGCCAAATTTGTTATAATGATCATTTGTCTTTTTGGAATTTCGTGGGTTGTTTCTATTCAAGGACCTGTGTTCAATAGCTATTTTTTGTGCTATTTGTGAATAACAACTACTTATAATAAAAGGTGCGGTCCTCTTCTTGGGTTTAGTGAAAGAATAATTTATTGGCAAAGAAAAGATTTAGAAGCTGTTACGAAATTCCATATAATGAAAACCGAAGAGATTTTAACCGGACTAGTTATGTTTTTCCTTCACCCTGATTAATTTTGGAACAGTATAATTGAGCCTGAATTTATTGGGTATCCCTCTTTCACGACTTGAACTTAACTCAGCATCAAGTAACTTTCCATTTTAGTGTGCTTTAAAAAAAGAAAAGAATCTGACATCAATATACTTAACGTCAGAGTGCCACCTTGTCTGGAGTTACTACAAATTGCTGATCATGATCAGAAGCTCTGTTGCTGTAAGGGTTTGTTAAGTTGCCTTTGTTGTTACTTAGCCACTGCCAATCTGTTACATCTTTTATAGGCTAGTATTTTGACCAGCTTCAAATCCCATGTAGTCAATTGATTTTAGAACAGTGCCTGCCAAAATAAGATTTGCAAAGAAGGGGACGTTGAACCTTCAGTTGGGTTTTCCAGTTTCCATCTCCAAATTATTGGTGCTGATTCATTTCTGATTCACATTAAAATTTTGCTGAATCTGTGTAGTTTTCTGAAAAAGTTGCAATTTTTGACAGAGCTGACGTATTGAGAGAGAATGCAGAAGCTGTCTTTGCCGCTTGTGATGCTGCTCATGGAAGATGGGCGAAGCTCCTTGGGGTCCGTGCTGTTCTTCATCCTAGGCTGAGATTGGTGGAGTTTTTGAGCATATACAACATCACCCAAGAGTTTATAACTGCCACTGAAAAGGTATTCATCTATTTAGTATTCTATATCACGAGGAAAAAAAAGTTTTGTTCATGGCGGTAATTCAATTTTTATGGCAACTTAAACAGATTGGTGGAAGGTTGGGGTATAGTATACGTGGAACAATGCAATCACAGGCTAAAGCTTTTATTGATTTCCAGCATGAAATGCGAGTTAGTTCCCTTTTCCATTTCTGCACCTTTTTTTTTTTTTTTTTTTTTTCTGAGACCTTTTCAATTTCTCATCAGGCTAACCTTTATGTTGATGGATGTAGATGACAAAAATTAGGGCAGTGCTTGATCAGGAGATGTGGGTGGAAGTAGATGTCCCTGATGAATTTCAGGCTATTGTAGCTTCGTTGTTTTATTCTGAACCATTGATCTCCGAGGGCCTAAATGATAATCAAGGTGAGACGACAACCAGCTATGATGACGTGGCCACAAGCAATGATGATTCACTTGTGACTGACACGGAAGCACAAAATGCTGAACAAACCCCTGTGGGAATGAACTCTGCAGAGGTATCTTTGCAAAATTCTGTGCAAAAAAAATCTACTCCCTCAACTGAGGCAACGGAAAACAATAAAGTCACTGCTGCAACACCTTCAGCTCAGAGCAAAAATCATAACATGAAGGAGCGTGGAAAATCTACTTCTCAAACACTTTCTTGTGGTGGTGTTGGTTATCACATGGTAAACTGGTTAGTTTTCTTGTTTTACCTTATTTTTACAGTTTTTTGCATGCAGTTTTGTGTGAATTGCTCGAAAACATGTTCTTTATTTAATTAATTTAAATCTTGGCATTCCATCTGTAGCTGATGCCATTAGTTATTGCCAGTGTGGCTTGGCATTCCCTTGCTTGATGACAATTTATTTTCTCTCATGTGTTTGACAGATTATCATCTATAGATTTCTTTGTTGTGTATTGTTATTTTCGTTCTGCAAACTATTTTTAACTTTCAACCATCAAAATCTTTCTGAAGTGAACAATTGCTGACGCCATTTTTGTTTATTCTTTCCCAGTGGCTTAATATTGCTGAAGATGTTGTCAGAATACATGGATATGAATAATTTTTTGCCAACGCTATCTTCAGAAGTTGTTCATCGTGTTGTGGAGATTTTAAAATTCTTCAATACAAGGACTTGTCAACTTATTCTTGGAGCTGGTGCCATGCAGGTAAAAGTTTCTAATAGCTCACATTTGCATTCTACAAAACGTTTTATTTTAACTTCCTAAAGCTAAAAAAAAGTTATAGATATTCTGGTTATTGTATCATTAAAAAAAAAACCATTCTTGTCTTGCATGCATTTATGATATTTTCTCAGTCAGTTATTCAATTTTAGCCTCCAAATTCTTGATAGCTGTGACGTGCCCCACTGACTCCCCAAACACCACCCTCACACTCCCTAGTGTTTTCTTTTATCCGTCTTTGTGCCTGCCCACAAGCTGATATTCCATGCAGAACATATTCTATCTCATTCTTCATGCTTGCCTTATTTTCAAATTGTTTTCTATGACCTTTCTTTTGTAATCGATTTGAAGCAAGCTCAGTTGTTGGTTTAGCTACTAACTTGGGTCTATACCATGCTGAAGGTGTCAGGTTTGAAGTCTATTACGTCAAAGCACTTGGCCCTTGCTAGTCAAGTCATCGGTTTTGTATATGCTATTATTCCTGGTAGGTTAATATCCTAAGATGCTGCTACCTCAGTTTATTAATGAGTGTTTTTGTTCCAAATTGTCAAGTGCATGGTTTAAAGACAATTTTTTTGCCACTTTTATTTGCTAGCTCTTAATACAATATCTGATGTTTCTTTGTGCGTTCTGTGTGGGCTAAGAAATCAGGCGAGTTCTTTTCCTTAAAGTACCTGAAGCACGGAAAGCATTACTGTTGTCAGAGATTGATCGAGTAGCACAGGTATGTATCTATTTAAGCTGCTTATGCTAATATTGTGATGCATCATGCAACTTCAATTGAATTTGCTTAGTGATGTTGCTACTGATTGATGGTACACATGAGGCAGAAACTTTAATTACAATCTTTGAATTTGACAATGTGTGCAATTTGTGATGAGTGCAAGAGTCATGGTTGTCATCAGCCCTTGGTATATCTTATGGTTAAAGGAAAACATGGTTTCTTTATGACAATGAATTCATCCATTATAGATTTTTAGTGTTTGTATTTTTCTTTTCCCATTATATCAAGTTGCTTACACTGCACACAGCTCTTGTGTTTGGAGAGGGGCAGTCAATAGGGGCAAAGATCTCATGGAATTTTTCTTTCAATGCCTGTTTGTTTTGGGGAATTCTTGTAGTTTGGAACTGGTTTGGTGTGTGGATGAACAGGCTTTTTATGTTGTTTAGCTTCAAATTTCACATGGTTTCATTTTTTTAATTCAGGATTATAAGGTTCATCAAGAGGAGATACTTACAAAGCTGGTTCAGATAATGAGGGAAAGGTTGTTTCATCATCTACGTGGACTACCTCAACTTGTTGAGAGCTGGAATAGACCTGTAGATACTGATTCACAGCCTAGTCTGATTGCTCAAACCCTTGTAAAGGTAACTAATTGTAAATCGGAATGTTCCAAATTCCAAATACACTATAAAGGCTTTTGTGGTGTCCTCTTACTGTGGATTTTGGGAATTTGGAAATTCCAAATATGCCTGCTCTGAAAACTTTAGTCAAGCAGATAGATTTTAGTATGGGGTGACATGGCCATATATTATTGAGGTTGATGTGCACAAGTCTTTTCACTTCATACAGTTGTTTGGTGAAAATCTACAGCATGCCAACAGTCCTTAATTTGATTCCTGATTGTGAATCCTCAACTTCTGTGGCCGCCTATATTGATGTGGATAAGTGTTTCACACATGAAGTTAACTTTGGTTTTGCTTGTTTAGATTAAGAACTTATCCTAGAAATTCCTGCTATATAAATGAGCTCAGTTGCCTGTTATAATCAGCGTAATATTATGATTTTTGGGAGATGGTTTCTTTCCTTATAGTTCAATCATATCTTTCCTTTGAGAATTGGACCTGATTGGCTGTTCAATTTTTGCAGGAGGTTAATTACCTTCAACGTATCTTGTCTAGAACTTTACACGAGGCAGATATTCATGCAATTTTCAGGTGAATTAGCTTGGTGAATAATACTCAATTGCTGCAATATCAGCATATACTTTGGTGTCTATGTTGTTCCATGCTACTACTTTGGTGTCCATGCTGTTTCTTTGGCATGTTTCATATGGGAAATGTTGTTGCAATCTTGTAATGGAAAAGATGCTTTGTGGAATAATTTATATGAACCTGCTAAGTATACAAGTAGCCCAAAATTTTCAGTATGCTTTCTATTTAACAATCATCGTGCACCAAAATTGGCATCGCTCTGTGGCAAGTCTAAACAAAGAAATCATTCTCCCTGGAATGAAATGTGTCCAGTATGTTCAGTCTCTTATTTTCTAAGAAAGTTATCATTGTTAAATATTTTCATAGTATCCAGAACCATATTTCTTGATGAAAAATATATTCTCATGAAAACAAAGAGAGCGAAATCTTGAAAAGGCATTTTTTTCCCCTCTCCGTTGGGTCTTGATGGAAATGCTTGTACCTGCATTGCAATGATTTTTTCAGGCAAGTGGTTATAATCTTTCATAAAGAAATTTCAGAAGCATTTTCATGGGTAGAGATCAGCAGTCCGCAAGCAAAGGGCAGGTACGACCTTTTATTCATTTACATGCATCCAACAGTGTTTTGCTGTTTTGTTTATATATTGTCTTGTCTGCTTCTGTGTGAAAATTCATTTTCCAGAGCTCAAGTTGTGTTGTTTGTGTCCCATATAACAGGCTTCATCGGGACATTATGCTTATCCTTGGATGCATTAGATCATTACCTTCTGGTAGCTTGAGTGAATCTGGTATTCCCAACTGGGGACAACTTGATGAATTCTTGCAAGAAAGATTTGATTCTGAAGCTGGCTGAAAAATGTCATCATCAAATATCAAATTGGTTGCTTTGAGTGTGGCTGTAACAAGATTTTTATGGAAGATATGGGATGATAGAACCAGTTCTCAACCTATACACTTACCTTGTAGCATAAATTTGAGGTACTTATTTATTCTCTGTTGTCAAATTCTTTAATCTGCTGCTTATTATTTTTACAGCCATCAGAAAAAAAAAAAAAAAGAAAGAAAAATCAAATTGCTATGAACATAGAAAAACCAAGTTATTCAATGAAATTTATCAATTTTCCTTCTTGCAACGAATTAATTATTGGAACTTATTTCAGGTGTTTCGGTTGCTTTTAGGTAAATAGTGGACAGCTTATGTAGTAACATTGAAGTGTTGCAGAAGGAAGTGTCTTTGAAGCAGAATTTTTGTAGGAGTTTACAGATAATACAATTTTTTAATTGTTTGAAATGGTGAACTGCTGGTTCTAGTTACCAAGTTCTTCCATGTACCATTTTCAGATGCACTCAATTGCCTAATCTTCAGATTATTGTATTGTAGCATCATAAATATGATTTTTTCATTAACCGTGAAAATGGCTGTTTCCTTAGTGAGATTATATGAACAAATGCCGGAACGAAAATATGTTATTGCTATGGGAGCATGTACAATTACAGGGGAAATGTTCGGTACCGATTCTTATAGCACTGCTCGGAGAGTCGATAAGCTAATTCATGTAGATGTTTTTTGTTTTTTTCTGTCTTCCTTGTTCTTTGTTATCATAAACCATCTTGTAATGGTGTTGTGCAAAAATATGTTGATCCACTTTTTTTTAAATGGATATAGATAATAATGGAGGCACAAGCAGCGGTGCCTGGTCCCTTTCTCTTGGTTCAATAGGATTGCTGGTAGTGGTTAATAATAGCATGGTTTCAAATAGCATGATATAACGTTACTGTGGTTAGTTCACGGTATCGAGTACATCCGTTCCCTTAATTCGCCTTGTAGGGATCTAATTGTTACAGTTATTGGCTTTATAATGATCCGATTGCTGATTCACACAAATAATGGCCGCTATATCTATTATGATTATTTATTTATTTTAAAAAATTTTATCCATTGTACACTCTTTTAGGTGCTATTTATGTGAAATTTTATATCTTGAAAGTGAAATGTATTTTATTAGTTTTTGTATGATATAAACTATTAAAAATGTTATTAACTTTTATAATAAATTCTATTATTTTTGTATGATATCAAATTATTAGAGATATTATTATACTTAATTAATAAAATTGTTAAAAATATGTTAATTATAATAAATTTATTAACATCAATTAATGCGTTTACAACCTCTCCTATCATTATTTTATTATTGTAATAAGCTACTTTTTATAGCATACTTGCCATTTAAAACTATGTATAATAGTCATTTATGTGTGTGCTTTTTTTGTCAAACCAATTTTAGATTGGAAGCAACATTTATTAAAAATAAACCGAAAATGAAAAAGCTCAAAAAAAAAAAAAAAAGGAAAACCAATTGACAATTGCAAAATGTAAAGGAAAGGACGTGTGATTAATCCATATGCATTGTTCAATAACACAAATAGGCTCAACAACTCAACTTTCTTATTAGTAATTTTCATGTGTATTATGTAAATTGTAATGCATTTGTACGTTTTTTTAGTAGTAGTAAAATTATATTTCTGAAAAAAAAAAAAAAACTAAAATTGAACATGAAGATCATCATGGTCTCAACTTGCTAGGAAAAAATAACCAATAAATTACAGGGACGAGTTTGGCAAAGCAAAAGTCTGAAAAAGCACAATTGATTTTATATTATATCATTAATTAACTTAAATTAGTTATTAAACACATTTAAAACAGGTTTCAAATCATAATAAAACAATTTTTTTTATTCGACGATAAGAGATATTTTCAGTCAATTTGCACGTAAACAACAAACACTATGTTAATATAATAGAGAAAAACACAAGAACAATAAACAAAAAAAGAGGAACTTTAACATTTCTCTAAAATGACAATTACAATCTCTTATTGTTTTCTCAGTTTCTTATACGACAGTGATCTATTCTTAATTGTGCTAAAATGTCTTCTCTAAGTTGAACTCTTGTCCAAGAGACTGAGAAAGCCCTGATATCTCAAGTACATCAAACTGACCTTTAGTTTTCTCTAATCCTAAGAATGTCTCCTTTTCTATAATCCATTTTTAACTCAAAGCAAATTCTCCATTAATGACTTTTACTCCAACAACTACTTTATTCCCTACTATTCCACCAGAAAAATTCGCTAAACTTCAATTCTTTCCCTCCCCTCCCATCTCTATACTCTCCCCATCATCTAAGAAAACTTGACCGGTACTGTTTCCACTGCTGCTAAGAACAACCAAGAGATGAAATGTTGTGTTTCGTGCTTCTTTCGTTGTCATGGCTTCTCCTTGCAAGGCCAAGATATTTCCTTCGCGAACGTGCACGTGTAGATGATCAGCAGGTGCATCAAAGGTGATGTTTTTTCCAGAGTCTATGCGAACCGAATTGGTGTAATTGAAAAGATCAAACCAGTTTCCTGCAGGAAAGTAGGCTTCAACTGAAACTGCTCCTGATGTCAGTACAGGCGATACAATTACGCCTTTACCAATTAGAAACTGCGAGTTGACTTCGTATGTTTGGATGTCTTGAGGAAAAGAAAAGAAAAGAGGCCGTGCTATGGGGGTCCCATTAGTATGTGCCTCGTACATTAAGGTGTAGAAATATGGAAGGAGCTGGTATCGCAGGCCGATAACCTTCTTGGATGATGCAGCAACAGAATCCCAGAGATAAAGCTCTCTGCGATTTGAGCCCTTGTTTGAATGGTCTCTTGAGAAGGGGTAGAAGGCTCCAAGCTTCATCATAAAGATTTTTGGATGTCAATAAAAATATACATTTTCCAAGTTCAGGAAAATTTCTAACAGAAAATTTTCACCTGAATCCATCTTCCATAGAGCTCCTCATTTGTGTCTCCAAGAAAACCGCAAATGTCAGCCCCAACCATTGGGATTCCAAACAGTCCAAAATTCAGGATCGATGGAATAGAGTACGCCAAATTTTCCCAATTAGCAGCATTGTCTCCAGTCCAATGTGCTGCATACTTGCCAGCACCGACAAAAGTTGATCTAGTGAGCACGAATGGTCTTTTGCCAGTTGTATTGAGTAGAGCTGCACTGGTGGCTTTGGATTGCAAAAATCCAAAAAGGTTATGAACATTGTACTCAGTAATGTTACCAAAGTGTAGAGCTTCCTGGAATGGTTCTATCTTTGATTGGTCGTTGACCTCCTCCGTTATTAATCTTGTATGGAGGGTCATCAAGGGTAGAATTTTGGGTTGAAGGGGAAGTCAAGAAATTGGCAAACTCATTCAAATCAATCCAAAGACCATCGAAAGGGAGAAGATCTCGAAATATTTAATCTCATTTCGCCAAAATTCTACACCAGCAGGTTTTAGAAAATCGGGGATGTAGAGATCTCCAGGCCAAACTTTGCCCAAGTAAGGATTCCCATCGCGTTTGATGAAAACATCAGCCTGCATCCCTCTATTGTAAGTGTCATAGGTTGTGTTCACAGCAATACCTGTAGAGAATCAGATGCAGCTTAAAACTCTTTGGAATTGATACTAAAAAAAAAAAAAAAAACCAGTTTAGCAGCAAAAGGATGCTCCAAAATGTTCTGCTTGATCTACTCCAACTAGCAGATTAGTAAGGTTGTAAAGGATTTTCATGTGAAGAAATTTTCTTTGTACATACCAGGATCCAAGATGAGCACGTATTTCTGACCATTTTAATGAAGGATGTCCACAAATTTCTTCATTTGATCCAATGGAAAGTTAACTGGATCAAAAGTGAAGTCCTTGTATTTATCCATGTAATCAATATCTGTCCACATGACTTCAAGATGAATACCAGCTTTTGCATAGCCTGCAACCACTTCCTCAAGATCCGAAACGTTCGCGTAACCATATCGGCATTGATGAAATCCTTTACATTGAGGTGAAAGGCAAAAAGATTTGGTCAAGTAAGCAATGTAAGATACAAGAACTCGACACTAGTCCACTGGCATGTCTAGCAGAAGACTTAAGTAAATCTACTCAATGCTACTTACCAAATGACCAGTGCTGCATTGGGGCAGGCCTACCAATAAGTTCAGTATACTGCTGAATCACAGTATCCGTTGCAGGTCCAGCGAAAAAAATACAAATCAATAACACCAACAATAACCTTATAAGTTAACCTATCACCTCCATAGATGACATCCATGCCATTACTATTAAGCAACAGAACACCATGAGTAGTTCCTGCCGGCACTTTTCCATCAGCAGACGGCGATCTGACATCAATGTAAAAGGGGTGCGAACCATAAAGGTTAACGTCAACATTAGAACTAGGTGTGTCAGCATTCCACATGGTCAGTGTCTGGCCAGACCTCAACTTGAAAGAGTTCTTGGTGTGCTCTCCTAGTCCATATAGTGATGATCTATTTATAGGAAGCGATGAAGAGAGTTGGATATACTGGTCCTTGAAGACCAAGAAAGTGCTTGCATTGGACGCATCCGGCGATGTGTTGAAAAGGACATCCCCGGATGATTTTCGGATGATGGAGGAGCCAAAAGGGGTGGTGTTGTGGAGGGTGAAGAGGAAGTGCGAGTTCGGGTTCGATATGTTGACAGGGTTTTCCTGCTGCATTGGACTGTAGGATTTCTGTGTATGGGAGTGGTTTTGCCGAGGAATGATGTCTTCTGGGACCTCCCATCTTTGATTGTTGGAATCTGTTATTCTGATTCTCAAACGGTTTTCTGTTTCAAAGCTGCATACAAAGGCAATGCATGTTAATACAAAGAGTTGGAAATATGCAAGCCGGAGACATGTCATCCGTAAGTTCTTATGACAAGTCATTCACTGGTAAGGGGTGATAGAGTCATTATCATTGCGGTAAGTAGCTCAGTTTGTTTTTATATAATTAATAGAATAAGCCTTCCATCTGTTTTTATATTTCTAATTGCATTTAATATGTTTCTGAATATTGATGAGATTTTCAATCTATCATTTCGATTAATTTTTTTGCTCATAGGTATATTTTTTAATCAATCAATTTGTCTTTGTTTTTTAGAAAAAATATGATCTTTTAATGTAATGCAACAAATTGAATAATTTTAAGTTATGAATAATAATTTTGAATTGGTGGATCTCTTATCCATGTAATAATTTTTCAAAAATGAAAATGTAAAGCTAACTACCTAGCCAAAAGGTTGAGATGTTGAATATCAGCTCCATAAACGAGTGGTATTATTAATAAGATTAAGATTAGCGAGATAAAGACTTACCGTAACCGATTATGTCTTTGTTATTTTATCGAATACAAATAGACTAAGCCTTCCATCTGTTTTTATATTTCTAATTGCATTTAGTATGTTACTGAATATTATTGAGGTTTTCAATCTATCATTTTGATTAATTTTTTTTTGTTATAGACATATTTTTACACCAATCAATATATCTTCTTTTTTTATATCCTTTTTATTAAAAAAAATATATATGATCTTTCAATCTAATACAACAAATTGAATAATTTTAAATTACGAGTTTTCAGATTGGTGGATCTCTATATCAGATCCATGTAATAATTTTTTCAAAAAACGACAATGTAAAGATAATTACCTGGCCAAAAAAATTGAGATGTTGAATATCAGCTCTATAAACAGTAGTATTATTAATAAAGCTAAGATTAGCCGTTAAAGAGTTGTGAACTGAATCAGCAGTGACAGAATCAATTTTGTAACCATACCCAACCACATCATCTGCATATGATGATGGAACCCAATGACCAAGAAGTAAGATGCTGTAGAGAAACAGAAGTAAAAGATAATATGGAGACATTGCTTTCAGGAATGATGTACGAGGTTAGTGCAAACTTCACTTGAACTTATAGTTTACAGAAAAAAAGAAGAAAAAAAAACATGGTAGGGCAAAGACAAGATAAATTTGTTGGCTCCCACATCTAGATTTGGTAGATATGACATGATATGTGTGGGAAGGATTTGCTTGTAAAGTTGACAGATTATGTTTTTATGTAATGTTTTTGGCAAAGTTGCTAGATTGTTTCTATGTGATGTTTGTTTGCCTAAACAGTCCAAAAATTCTATGAATCGTTAAAAAACAATTTTTTAACTTTTAATTTCGAATTATATTTATTTTTAACTATTTTTCATTTAAAATTGAATTTTTTTTTTTTTTGTTATGTTTTTGTCGAGTAGTTAACTTTTTTAACTTTCTTAGTATTTTAAAAAATGACAATTTATGAATTCTTTGTTTCTAGAGTTGACAGATTATGTTCTATGTAATGATTTTAGCAAAGTTGGCATGTAATTTTTTTTTTTTTTTTTTGCCTAAACGGTCCAAATATTTTTTAAATTTCAAATCGTTAAAAAACATTTCTTAACTTCTAATTTTTAAATTAGATCCATTTCTAATTACTTTTCATTTGAAATTATATTTTTTAAAATTACGTTTCTATCAATTCTAACGGTGTAAATGCATATGACTTATACATGATTAACTTTTTAACTTTCTTAGTATCTAAAAATATATCAAAACTTGTGAATTTTTTATTTTTTCTTCCTAAAATATTTTATAACTGCTAACTTCTTATGTTTAACAGGGAAGAAACAAATTTTGGAGAGAAAAATAAAATATCCATAAGTTCTAGTGCATTTTTAACTGGTGAAAAATTATACTTGTATGTTAAAATTGATGAAATTTAAATAGAAGGATCTAATTTTAAATAAAAATATTTGGAAAAAATCCAATTCGAAATTAAAAATTGATTCTCAAATAAATTAAAATTCAAGAGAGTTTTAGACCCTTTAGCCATGTTTTTGTTTTTGTTTTTTTTTTTTAAGGAAGGTATGCGAGTGGGGGAGAAAAACAAAATGAAAGGAATAAAAATCATGGAAGCCAATGATAAAGACAATCAAGAAATATGTAATTACCTAAGAAGATAAATTAATGATTTTTTATTTGTTAATTATTTTATTTTATTTTATTTCCTTGACGATAATATTTATCAAGATAAACATTCACTAATTTCGTTTCCCTAACTTCATCATAAATATATGATGCGTCGTTCATACTAAAATTTCTTCTAAACTACTTTCAATAATTGAATTTATCGGATTTACTAATTTATTAGTGAGATTCACTCATTCAAATCGTGGGATTTTTTTAGGAAAGTCAAACATATTGCCAATATTATCAAGATAAACATTTTATTTTACCTCCTCAACAAATTGTATTATCTTTTCATTTTATTTCCTCAACAATAAGGTTTATTTTATTTATTTTTGGTAAGAAGTAAACAATATGGATGGAAAATTTTATGATAGTGCTTTCAAGTTCGGATAACATAAGAATTAATTTTAGAATTGTGAATATTCGATTCAAGATTCAAACATGATCCATAGACATAATAATTAATAAATATAATTAGAAACATAATAATAAATTAGAGACTTGAACTATTATACAAAAATGCATTGACATATTTATCCTGAGAGACGAAAAAAGATATCCAACAGCCTTTAAAGAATTAATGACGGTGGCGGAAGGGAGGAAAAGAGGAAGATGATGGTGGAGAAGGTGTTGGCAAATTAAGAAGAACGTCCAACGTACGTAGCATGTTAAATGCAAGAGGCTGACGATAGAAATTTGGCAAGCCGAAAACAACACAAATGCAATTTTAAGAAATAATTTCTAACTTTCGAGATCTTTATTATTATCCAGACAAATATTAAGATGTCATATCATACAACACATCAAGGGATTAGTATATTGTTTAAAAAGATTTGTTTCCCTTTTTTAATTTTTTTTTTTTTTTTTTTGTTCAAAGTTTAGAATAAGTATGGAGGATAATTTGGGTTAATATCGTTACATGTCATATCATACAAAACATCAAGGGATTAGTATATTGTTTAAAAAGATTTGTTTCCCTTTTTAAAAAAATTTTTTGTTTCAAATTTTAGAGTAAGTATGGAGGATAATTTGGGTTAGTATCATTACACGTCCTTATATAATAATTTAATTTTTTAATTTGTTATTAAAAAAAAACTTTCAAATTGTTCTTATATATTGAGTTTGTTTCTAATTTATTTTTCTAGTCAAAATTTTTTATCAATTTTCATAAATTAATCTTCATATTAATAGATATAGATCACTTACATCAAATAATAAAAATAATTTTTCAAATCACATGCTTAATTTAATTTAATTTAATTAGAAATTTTAACTAAAAGAATAGATTAGAAATCGTTTCAAAATATTTGAACAAATCAGCAACCTTTTTTTTTAAGGATGGATTGAAAATTAGTATATTATATACGAACAGATGAAGGTATTAATCCGAAAAATTTATTAAATTTCTTTGAATAAATTAAACCAATGCTCTCTAAATTTAGTCTAAAATTATTTACAAAAAGATTTAATCTTAAATTTAGTCTAAACTTATTTACAAAAAGATTTAATCTTAATTAATGTACAAACTAATTCGATAATATCTTTATGTTCGGAAAAAAAAAAAAAAAACTATCTTATAAGTGAATTTGGCAAAAGAAAAGTTTTTATTTTTGTGTCCTCTCCTTTTATGAAAATCGTATGACAACAAACATAAATCATTCCAGTATGCAATCAAGTGAAATGTACAACAACCAGCAATGTTAATTATTCTAGAAGGTCCACCTTGACTGATTCTTATTCCTCTCAATCATCAACAATTAGGGTTCATAATGGACAGAATCAACAAATCGATACTAGCAACCAGAGTGTAAGAAGCGACAATTAATATTATCATTAAAACAAGAAAATTGCCTTCGCCTCGGATCAATGGTGTGACTCTGAATCACTCACTAAGTATGAGAGAGTGAGTTAGGGTTTATGGCTTGAAGACTGGTGCGTGGAGATCAATTGTTGCACCTAGTCCATCGAAATCAAATATTCTCACACTGATGCTGCAATCCCTTGTTGGTTTATTCCTAATAACTTTTTGGCAGACGATGATTGTCCATACTCCATTTCCTTTACAAGCTAAATTTCACACTTAACTTGAACTCCTCTCCAAGGAGCAAAGAAAGTCCCGGCATCTCCAAGACATCAAAATCTCCATTGTTGTTAAGGCTTGCCCTTATACCTCTACTTCCACTCTTTGTTTCCTTGGGAGTCTGCAACTCGTACCAGTTGATCCCTTTAGTCCTTTTCAACCCTATGAATGTCACTTTGCTTACCATCCACTTTTGCCGAAAAGCAAATTCTCCATTTATGATGTTTGATCTAACCATTGCTCCATCTCCTACTACCTCACTATAAAATTTCACTAAACTCCAGTTCTTTCCATCCCCTCCCATCTCGACACTCTCCCCATCATCCAAGAATAATTCCCCTGTGCTGTTCCCACTGCTGCTCAGAACCACTAGAAGATGGAATGCTGTTTTGCGAGCTTCTTTGGTCGTCATGGCTTCTCCTTGCAAGGCCAATATGTTCCCTTCGTGAACATGAACATTTATATGATCTGCAGGTGCAGCAAGTTTGATGTACTTTCCTGAACTTGCAGAAACTGAGTTAGAGTAGTTAAAAAGATCGAACCAGTTGCCGGCGGGAAGGTATGCATCGACTGAAGTAGCTCCTGGCTTCAATGCAGGTGATACCATTACACCTTTACCAATTAGAAACTGTGAGTTGATTTCATAAGTTTTTATGTCTTGAGGGAAAGAGAAGAAAAGAGGCCGCGCTATCGGGGTCCCTTTGGTGTGTGCCTCATACATTAATGTATAGAAATATGGAAGCAACTGATATCGAAGGCCAAGCACCTTCCTGGCTGTTGCTGCAACAGAATCCCAGAGATAAAGCTCTTGACGTGCTGTGCCTAACGATGAATGATCTCTTGCAAAGGGGTAAAAGGCACCTAGCTGCATCATAATAAAATTTCAATTTCATTTGAATGCAGAAAATCAGTAAACATCCAACTACAAGCAACAAGTTACCTGAATCCAACGCCGGCACAGCTCCTCAGTTGTGTCTCCTCCGAAACCACATATGTCAGCACCAACCATTGGAATTCCAAACAGTCCGGTATTCAGAATTGATGGAATAGTGTACGCCAAGTCATCCCAGGTGGCGGCATTATCTCCGGTCCAATGTGCTGTGCACCTTCCAGAGCCAACGAAAGTTGATCTAGAAAGTACGAATGGTCTTTTACCAGTTGAATTGATCAGGCCAACATTGGTGGCTTTTGATTCCAAAAGGCCATAGAGATTATGAACATTGTACTCTTCCATGGTATCGAAGTGTAGAGATGTTGCTGGAATAGTTTTATTATTGATAGGCCGTCGAATGCCAGCATTGTTAATCCTGTACGGTGGATCGTCCAGGGTAGAAGACGGGTTGGGTGTGGGATCTATGAAATTCGATATCTCATTCATGTCAATCCAGAGACCATCAACAGGGAGAAGCTCTCGAAACATTTTTATCTCATTACCCCAAAACTCTCGGCCAGCAGGATTTAAAAAATCAGGAAAATAGACTTTTCCAGGCCACACTTCACCCAGGTACGGGATGCCATTGCGTTTAATGAAAATATCAGCCTGCATTCCTCTGATGTAAGTTTCATATGTCGAGTTCACGCTGATACCTGCAGAAAATCGGAGGCTCAAAAGAATTTACCAGAACCATTCTCTCTTTCTTTTTCTGTTAAAGCCAATCAGAAGAATTACAAGTTAGCACGTACCAGGATCCAAAATTAGCACATATTTCTGACCATTTTGGTGAAGGTTGTTCACAAATTTCTTCATTTTTTCCAAAGGAAAGTTGACAGGATGAAATGTGAAGTCCTTGTATGCATCCATGTAATCAATATCTGTCCACATAACTTCAAGAGGGATACCAGCTTTTGCATATCCAGCAACCACACCCTCAACATCAGAAATGTTCTTGTAACCGTATCGGCATTGATGAAATCCTTCACATTGCAACCAAGAAAAGGAAAGAAACTAAAGGATCAGGATTAGTGAATCAGAATTGTTTGATCACCAAGCATTTGTTGTAAAGAATCTTTCAGTACCGCAACGATTGAATTTGATGTTCAATTCATCGCAGACACAAACATGCTAACTTGCCAACAAAATTTTCAGAGCAAAATAGTGGAAATTAAGGAAGGTAGAGACAATGCTACTTACCGAATGACCAATATGGCATTGGGGCAGGCCGGCCGATTAGCTCAGTATACTGCTCTATCACCATATCCGGCGAAGGCCCGGCAAAAATGTACAAATCAATAATGCCGCCAATAACGTTATAAGTTATCCTATCACCTCCATAAACTATGTCCATGCCATTACTATTAAGAAGCAAGACACCATGAGTAGTCCCTGCCGATTCTTTGCCATCATCAGACGGTGATCTGACATCAATATAGAAAGGATGGGATCCATAAAGATTGACATCAAGATTAGCACTGGCCAAGTCAGCATTCCACAAGGTGAACGTGTCTTTAGGCTTCAACTTGAAAGTGCTCTTGGTGTGCTCTCCTAGACCATATAAAGAAGACCTCTTTATAGGAAGCTTGGAAGACAGCTGGATATACTGGTCCTTAAAGACCAAGAAAGTGCCAGGATTGGACATGTCTGGTGATGTGTCGAAAAGAACATCACCAGAGGATTTTCGGGTGATGGAGAAGCCAAAAGGGGTGGTGTTGTACAGGGTAAAAAGCAGGTCCGAGTTGGGGTCAGAGAGGAGGTTGTTTTCTAGCAGGACTCTATGCGTTAATGGAGAGTAATGTCGGAAGTTTTCCGGAGAGTAGTTTTGGCGGGGAAGGATGTCTTCAGGGATCTCCCATCTTTGGTTTCTGGAATCTGTTATTTTGATTCTCAAAACGTTTTTGGTTTCAAAGCTGCATAGAGGAGGCAGAGCATGTCAACGCATAGTGCAGGAAATATGCAAGTGGGAAGACATGTCAATCATCACTAAAGGAAGACATGTCGTCTGCTTGTTAAACTCTGCAAGTTACATAATTCTTTGAAGAGGATAAATTACTAACATAGTCCTCCGTTTAATGGCATACTTTACTTCTAAACTATTAGAGTTGTAGTAACATAAGACCTGAACTATCAATTTGATCTATTTTATCCTCAAACTATTAATTTTGAACAAATTATGTCATTTCATTTGATTGAACCGTTAAAACTGACATTCAAACTTTAACTATTAGCTAAAAAACCCAATCCAAAGTTTTTTACTTTTGTAAATTAAGACAAACAATATAAAACCTCAATTTAAAAATTGAAACATATACATTTGATTGAACCATTTTTTACTTTTTTTTTTTTTCAAAAAACGACATGGTATTGATTTCTTCGGTTAACGTTCAAAATTTGACAATCAATCTTAATAGTTATTAGAGAAAAGTATGTAATTTACCTTAAAAAGAATAATTTGAGGACAAAATAGATTATATTGATAATCCAGATCTTATTTTGCCATAATCCCAATAGTTCAAGGATAAAATGTCACTAAACCCATAATACCCGAAGAATTTTAGGATAAAATTTTATTTTGGGCTGAAATTAATGAAAGAAATCAAAATAAATAAATAAAAGAGTAAATGCAATCGTGCAAGTCAACTCAGCTAATAAAACAATTGGCGAGTCCTTCTCTCAGTCAAAGCAAAGATAAGAAGACTAGCACTAATCGTGTCCCAATAAAATATTTAAAAAAAAAAAAAAAAAAAAAGGAAAATTGTTCATCCTAAGAAAACCAATCACTTATGGTTTCTGCCTTCAAAAACATTTGATAGTTAGACAACATTAATGTAAGCAAAATCATCAAGACAGAACTAAGCTACTTACCTGGCAAAAAGATTGAGATGTTGGATATCATTTCCATAAACTGAGGACTTCTTGATAAGGCTAAGATCAGCAGTCAACGACTTAGCTCTTGAACCAGAGTTAACAGATCCAACTTTGTAGCCATAGCCAACCACTTTTTCTTTCCCTTCCTTTCCACTGGTCAATGGCACCCAATGAACCAAGAAGAAGAAGAAGAAGGACAGAAGTAAAAGATTACTTCCCCTAGTGTTCTTGTTTCTGTCTTTCTCCATTCTTTCTTGTCATATAATCTGCAGAAACTTAGATGTATTGGTGTTTACTTGGTTTCCAGTTTCAAGCTTAAATATACAAAGAAGGCAACTAAAACATGATCCATCTTTTTGTAATTTCCACAAGCATCTTGACAACATGGAGCTTTCTTGGGCCCCGTAAAGTAAACTAGCGTTTCAGATTTGTGAGTTCGTAAGATTGGTATTTTTTTTTTGTAGCCAAACACGCTTTTCTAGAAGGGGACAGAAAAGATAAACAATTTTGCATATGGTACATGAGGTAGCATTTTGTAATAATATCTTGCAGTTATCCTGTGCTATTATTACATTTTGGACTAATATCTTGTACGTGCTTCTAATAGCCAGAACTAGAATAAAATTTAAGGGACAACTTTCAGATTTTTAGATTATTGTCCAAATTAATGTCTTGGAAGAGATAATTGCTTCCATTGCAGGTAATTCAATATCCTTTTAAGTGAATTTTGAGTTTGAAAGCAATAAGAGGATTAAAAAAAAAAAAAAAAAAAAGGATTTCATATGTATAACTTTCAAACTTTTCTCAATTAAGTACATAAACTTTAATTTTTTTCATTTGAGTATATCAATTTTTTTCAAAATTATCAATCAAATACTTTCGTCAATTTTTTTATTAACCAATGACATATCCATTATACTTAAAATACCAAATTATAATTTTGTCTTTTTTCTCAATAGAATATATGAATTTTAATTTTTTTTTCAAATTGAATATATCAATTTTTTTAAATTATCAATCAATTACTTTTATCAATTTCTCTATTAATTGATAACGTGTCCGAATATCGAATTATATTTTTTTCATCTTTTGTTGTAAAGAACTTTCTCCTTAGATTATTTTATCATTTTAAAATTTGACAAAGAATTAAAAAAATTATTTTTAGTTATAAAATCTCGAACTAAACTTAATAAAGCTTGTTGTTAAAAAAAAAAAAATTGTTAGGTTTTGGGTATGAAAATTGAAGAAAAAACAAACATGAGATTTTTCATTGAGAAGATTCATTTGTGTTTTTCTTCAATTTTCACTTTTAAACCTAAATGATTCTTTTTTTTTTTTTTAATAACAAACTAATTGAGTTTAGCTTCGAATTTTAGAGATAAAAATAAATTTTTAATTATCTATCAAATTATAAAATAGTAAAATAATTTGAGTAAAAAGTTTCTTTCAACAAAAAGAGGATAAAATTATAATTTCGTATTCGAATAGGTCATCAATTAACGAAGAAAGTAATGAAAATACTTCATTAACAATTTTAAAAAATTGATGTATTGAAATGAAAAAATTAAAGTTCATATACACAATTGAGAAAAAGAGTAAAATTATAATTTGATATTTTGAGGATATCGGACAAGTCATCAACTAATAGAAAAATTGATAAAAAAAAAAGTATTTGATTGATAATTTTGAAAAAATCGATGTACTCAAATAAAAAAAATAAAATTCATATATTCAATTGAGAAAAAGTTAAAAATTAATATACTTATAGTGTAATTATCGTGTGTGTGTGTACGTGTATGTATCATATGAAATTATTTTAAATCATTTTATTTTGAAACGAACCTTGTTTTTTCAAAAAAATTAAGTGATTATTTTGACATTCTATGACACAGGAATATCTTGTCGTAAACAATACAGACAGGCATGTCAATCCACTCCATGATTGGGTTAAAATATTTCTTGATGTCATTGTTTTATGATAAAGAAGCATTATCATTATCAATAGCCTTATTATCACATCTTAGATCATACTGTCAGTGGCTCTATTCATATATATCTTCTGTACATGAATCTCATATGATAAAGCCACAAATCTTGAAATCTGAATCCGTGAGGGTGTTGAAGATTTAGTCTATTGTTGATTGTGATCCAACGCTCGGCATTGTTCCAATTCCATTTTAGTTTTACTCTGGCATAATCTTCATGTGGTAAAATTGATTTTTTTAGAGACATAAAGGAGACATTCTGTACATGAATCTCAGTCACTTGTTTGATTTATTCTTATGAGTTGTTGACAAAAATGGCTGTCAATTCTTACATGCTTAGTTTCACCTCTAACTTGAACTCCTCTCCAAGGGACAGAGCAAAGCCTGACATCTCTAGCATATCAGATTGTCCATTGCTATTGAAGCTTGCTGTTATACCTGAATTTCCACTCTTTGTTTCCTTAGAAGTCTGCAGCTCATACCACTTGAACCCCTTTGTCTTTTCTAAACCTACGAATGTTACTTTACTTACAATCCATTTTTGGCTCAAAGCATATTCTCCATTTATGATGATTGACCTAACCCTTGCTGTATTTCCTACTATTCCGCCGTAAAACTTCACTAAGCTCCAATTCTTTCCCTCCCCTCCCATCTCCACACTCTCCCCATCATCTAAGAAAATCTCCCCTGTGCTGTTGCCTTTGCTGCTAAGAACTACCAAGAGATGGAATGCTGTTTTTCGAGCTTCTTTCGTAGTCATGGCTTCACCTTGCAAGGCCAAGATGTTTCCTTCGCGAATATGAACGTTTATATGATCTGCCGGTGCATCAAGTTTGATGTACTGTCCTGAATCTGAACTTACTGAATTGGAGTGATTAAAAAGGTCAAACCACTTTCCTTCTGGGAAGTAGGCATCCACTGAAACTGCTCCTGAATTTAACACAGGTGATACCATCACACCTTTACCAACTAGAAATTGCGAGTTGATTTCATAAGTTTTGATGTCTTGAGGGAATGAGAAGAAAAGTGGTCTTGCTATGGGGGTCCCTTTCGTGTGTGCCTCGTACATTAATGTGTAGAAGTAGGGAAGTAATTGGTACCGGAGACCAAGCACCTTCTTGGCTGCTGCTGCAACAGAATCCCACAAATAAAGCTCTTGCCGTGTTGAGTCTATTGCAGAGTGGTCTCTTGCAAAGGGATAAAAGGCACCTAGCTTCATGGAAAACAATTTCAAGATCAATCAAACAAGACAGCAGATTCAAACAAGTGTGCATATTCTAGCTACAAGCAGTAACTTTACCTGAATCCAACGCCGACAAAGCTCTTCAGTTGTGTTTCTAGAGAAACCACATATGTCAGCACCAACCATTGGAATACCAAACAGCCCAAAATTCAAAATCGATGGAATGGTGTAAGCCAAATCTTCCCATGTGGCAGCATTGTCTCCTGTCCAATGCGCTGTGTACTTGCCGGAGCCTACGAAAGTTGATCGTGAAAGTAAGAAAGGCCTTTTACCAGTCGCATTGATTAGAGCTGCATTGGTGGCTCTGGATTCTGATAGGCCGTAAAGATTATGCGCATTATACTCCACAATGCCCCCATTGTGTAGAGATGTTGCAGGAATGGTTCTGTTATTAATCGGTCGTAGAACGGCAGCATTGTTTATCTTGTAGGGAGGATCATTCGAGCGTAGAAAATTGGGTAGGAGAGGGAGTTATGAAATTGGATATCTCATTCATGTCTAGCCAGAGACCATCAAATGGCAGAAGTTCATGAAACAACTTGATCTCATTGCTCCAAAACTCTCTGCCAACTTCTTTAAGAAAATCAGGGAAGTAGACTGATCCAGGCCAAACCTCACCCATATAAGGAACGCCATCATGTTTGATGAAAACATCAGCCTTCATCCCTCTAATGTAAGTTGCATATGTTGCGTTCACACTGATACCTGCAGAGATTAGAGGCAGTTTAGCTCTGTAAGAATTCATTTAACCTTCTGAAAACTAGAGGAATTTCGGATAAAGAGAACTATTTCTTTCTTCAAGTTGCCACATACCAGGATCCAAGATAAGCACATATTTCTGACCATTTTGGTGAAGGGTACCGACAAATTTCTTCATCTTTTCCAACGGGAAGTTCACAGGATCAAGAGTGAAATCCTTAAATCCATCCATGTAATCGATGTCTGTCCACATAACTTCAAGAGGGATACCAGCTTTTGCATAGCCAGCAACTACGCCTTCGACGTCAGAAACATTTTTGTAACCCCATCGACACTGATGACATCCTTCAGGCCAAACAATTCAACAACATATATAGGATAAGCAAGAGATGAAAATCTTCTCTTTCAGCAGAAGACTGATGTGGAACAAGAAAACGGTGGCTCTACTTACCAAAGGACCAATATGGCATAGGAGCAGGTCGGCCAATGAGCTCGGTATATTGCTGTACTACTAACTCAGGCAATGGCCCGGCAAAGATGTACACATCAATGACTCCACCGATAACCTTATAAGTGATCCTATCACCTTCATAAATTATGTCCATTCCATTGCTATTAAGCAACAAAACACCATGCGTAGTCCCTGCTATAACTTTACCATCAGGAGATGGTGATCTCACATCAATGTAAAAGGGATGGGATCCATAAAGGTTAACATCAGGAATAGCACTAAGAATGTCAGCATTCCACAGAGTGAGTGGTGTCTTATCAGGTTCCAACTTAAAGGACTTCTTTGTATGCTCTCCAAGGCCATAAAGAGAAGACCTATCTTTTGGAAGCGAAAAAGAGAGCTGGATATATTGGTCCTTGAAAACAAGAAAGGTCTCGGAATCTGATATGTCTGGGGATGCGTCAAAAAGGACATCACCGGAGGAATGCCGGGACACAGAGAAGCCAAAGGGAGTAGTGTTTTGGAGGGTGAAGATGAGGTCAGAATTGGGGTCTGAAAGGATTTGATTTGCCAGTGAAGACTTGGCATTGTTTTGTCCAAAGCTGAGGTTATGTTTTGGGCGTGGAATTATGTCTCCAGGGATTTCCCATCTTTGATGATTGGCATCTGTTATCCGAATTCTCAAACGATCTTTTGTGTCAAAGCTGTAGCAAAGGCATTCTTATTTATCAATTCTATGTAAGTTAGAGATCTCAAATATTGATAATTAAAGGACAGTGTTGTTTTTTCCAAATGACTCTAATGTTTAGAATGAATACAAGTCTTCAACATTTTTTGTGAGCTACCAGACTCGAAGCCTCTTTCCAAGAAAACAAGATAGGCTTTCGTTGTCTCAAGTACTGGCATGACCCAGAACGACTAGTTCCAAGTAATGGGGGCGTTCCACTGATCGTGGATAAAGAATTATTTATTTTACTACACTGTATTTACTTGATCATTAATCTAAGATATATCAGCCATAAGTCCAACAGAATATGTCTGACACTAATAAATCGGCACAATTTGCTAAAACATAAGCAACTATAATTCTTTTGGTCATTAAAGATAAAAATAGAACCCCCTTGTCAGCCAACAATTTTCCACTGGTTTAACATTGTTGCAACTAAAACACTGCTAACAAGTATTGAACGAAGTTACCTGGCAAGAAAGTTGAGATTCTGAATGTCGGGACCAAAAGTAGAGGAATTCTTGATGAGCTGAAGATCAGCTGTCAAAAAACTTCCAGAGGGATCAACTCTAGCTGACACAACTTTGTAACCATAACCAACAGGCTCTAATTCTACCTCTCCATTTGATATAAATATTGAAGCCAAGCAAGATACAAAGAAGAAACAGAGAAGAAAATGAGACAGCTTTGCTCTATCTCTGCTAATTGGTGGTGTCATTTGTGTTTGTGTTGCGAGGAAAACAGAGCCTTTCCTTGTGATCTTTATTTACGTCCATGGTCCAAACTAGTACAAAATGTGGAATTTTCTGCCCCCCACATGCCTCTTGGCCTTGTCACTTTCTTTGTCTTTGCTCGGTGTATGTGGTACTCAGGTTTGTCCACAAGTTTATCAAACTAGAAGGAAAGACATGGCCCAATAGTTTTCTAGCAGCACTTCGATATAGATCAAGTTTAAAGTTGAACCCTAAATAATTAGCAAGGTTTTCGGCAATTGCATGTCAATGTCTCAAACAGTAACACTGAATTGAAATGGTTATTCCTGAGATAGGATGTAATCTATAAATTCATGAATAAATGTTTATTTTTAGGAGTAAAAACACTCTCCACCAAAGGTTGTAGATAAAATAGTTAGAAAAACATCTCTTTCTCAGCATGTTAAAAGTTCTATTCTCACTTTTGAACGAAACTCCTCCCTCTATAGGCTGTTGGAGGACTTACAGAACCTGGCTTTTAAAATCAATTCAAAAATACCCTACTATCAGTAATATTTAAAAAAAAAAAAAACACACACACACACACACACACACAAACATGTACTACAGCTTCTAAATAGAAACATATAAATAGTCATATATTTAAAAATCGGGATTAGCTAATTTTTAGAAATTTCCTTAAAAAAATTTTATAGACTATTATATAATCTAGTAACATGATCATTTGCTCAAGACTAACATCCTAAATTAAAATGACACGAATACAGGAAAATGCTTGTAATACACACCAATATTAACTTCTAAAAATTAGCTAATCCTGTTTTTTTTTAATATATGCTTATTTAAACACTATGTTAACCCCTAAATAACAATATTAATTATCATCAAAATTTATATAAAATTATTTAAATTTTGAATGTTAAATATTTAATTTAATTTAGTAAGTATTGAATTTTTTTATTTTTATTAAAAAAAATCAATAAATATTAATGAATAATATTCAATATATAGTTGAATAATACACATGGGAAACACGTGATAAGAAAACTAGTCTTATTTAAAAAAAAAATATATATATATATATATATATATATATATATATATATATATATATGATAGTGATAGGTGTTTTTTTAAGACATTATTATAATCATTTGATTTATAAAACTTAGAATTAAAAAACAAAGAAAAGCTGAAAAAAGGGCCATGGATCGGAAGCCGTGTCCAAATGTTCATGGGCTTCTAAAGAAAATTGGCTTGCCTTCACCATCCACAACTCTCCTGGTCTATCTGAACAACGGATGCCAGTAACAGTAATTTCGTGGCCGGAAAAGACATAGTTGGAGCTTTCTTTCTCCTCCTCTCTCTCCCTTTAATTTTCTCCTTTCTCAATTGACTTGAAGAAATGCAAATTAATTGCAATATTATTCCTTACATTTAAATGTTACAAAAAGCAGGAATCCAAATGCAATAAAGAGCTCTCTTACAAGAGAAAGCCAGAATAATTCTTCATCTTTATAGCGATGATCAATTCAATTTGTCGTGATAATATGACTTTCTTTTCTGTTCTATTAACTACTAACTATTAACGCTAATCTCCTAACTTCTAATAACTGAATGAATTACAGAATTTCTATCTATAGTAAAAAAAAATGCAATAAACAGAACAGATAATGAAAGATAATAACTAAATTATAAATTAATCTTTTTAGCTTTGAAAAATGAATCATGTTTCATAAATTAATTCTTTAGTTCTATATTTTTAATTTTTTTTGTAACTTAATACTTTTTGTTCTTTTTCAATTTGTTTTGATTTTTGAAAAAAAATAGAAAAAGAAAAAGAAAAATAATTATAAATATTGAAGGATTGATGAAAAAATGACATTTAATGAAATAAAATAATATTAAATAAGTGCGATCAACACTAGTGAAATGATTAAATAATTAGTTTTTAAATAAAAAGGATTAATTCACATCAAACTTCTTGATTGGAGTGAAGAAGAAGTCTGCATTCGTTTCTTGAAAATGGAGGGACTAACTTATAATTTACTCTTACAAAGGATCATAATGAAATGGTAGAAAATTAATTAATCAAAAAAAAAAAAATTGTGCTTTTACTTTAGGAGTTCTTTGCTCCAATTTGGACCGTATATTGATAAGATAATAAATGATTTTCTAAATTAAAAACGAAAAAAAAATCTAGGATTGTTGGTTATTCTGTACAAATTTCATGTTAGAGGTGCATATTAATTTTATTTTTATTTTTTGATATTTTTCTTATATAATTTGTTTTTGGTTCTTATAGTTATCTTGCTAGTTTTCTTGTAATCAAAAGATGAGGCCTAGCGGTAAGGGAGTAAACAAGACTGTTTTGTTTATGCTTCATCACGTGCTTCGTTTTTCGGATTTGAGGGTGATTTCTATTTTAGGTTTGGCCAAATTCAATTTTCGACCCTAGTAGCTCAATGCCCACGCGTTCCTGCAAATAAATTTATCATATTCATATTTTAATATTTTAAATAATTTTAAAATATAAATATAAAATAAAAATTAATTAACACTCATTATAAAAAAAATATTTAATTTAATTATATATATATATATATATATATATATAATTGAATTTAAATATTTTTTAGGAATATTTTTTATTTTGATAGATAAAAAATATGTGCAATTAATTAATTATTTTTAAAAAAATCCAATTAGAAGGAGGTGTTTAAGCAATTTATATTAGAAGAATATTTAATTTTAGTTCATGAATATTTCTAAAAATAGAAAAAGTAACCATTGATGATGGGAAAAAAGTTCTTTTGATTAAAAAATAATTAATGAAAAAAACCCAGCCCCAAAAAAAATATGATAGGCACATTTTGATAATATTAATTAAAATTAGGAACCGTTTTATATAAAATAATAACTCTGAGGACCAAAGTGTAAAATCTTGACAAATTGAAAAAAAAATCACTTATCTTTTTTAGAAAAGGACATTGTTTTGAGTCTAAAGACACAAAACGACGTCGTTTTGGTTTTACTGTAGCAAGGGCTTAGCTACAGTAAAACCTTATTTGCTTTTAGTAAATGTTACTAGCTTAATACCAGCGCGTTGCCACGGGTAAGTTTATTATATACATATTTTAATATTTTCAATAATTTAAAAATATAAATATAAAATAAAAATTAATTAATACTCATTGTAAAAAACATTTATTTAAGTTAATATATATATAATTGAATTGCAACATTTCTTAGGAATATTTTTTATTTTGATAGATAAAAAATATATGTAATTAATTAATTGTTTTTTTTTAAAATCCAATTAGAAGGAGGTGTTTAATCAATTTATATTAGAAGAATATTTAATTTTAGTTCATAAATATTTATAAAAATAGAAAAAGTAACCATTGATGATGGGAAAAAAATTATTTTGATTAAATAATAATTAATGAAAAAACGCAGCCCGAAAAAAATGATAGGGACCTTTTGGTGACATTCATGAAAATTAGGGACTGTTTTATATAAAGTAATAACTTAGATGATCAAAGTGTAAAATATTGACAAATTGATAAAAAAAAATTTTTTTTTTTTTTTTTTGAAAACGATGTTGTTTTGAGTCTAAAAAACACAAAACGACGTTGTTTTGGTTTTACTACAACAACGGCTCAGTCCAAACCTTATTTGCTTTCGGTATATGTTATACTAATAATTATAATTATAATGTTGCCTGCTGAATAGCTAGCCGTTGGTCTTGCCTTGAATTATATGAACTGTGAGATTTAAAAACATCCAACCAAAGATATCCATGTCAACATCTCTCGCATCAATTTCAGACAGTGACACAGTATCTTAGGAAATCTTCCTCAAATAGTGAAGCATTTGGAATTTGCATTTAGGGCCTATGATTTCTGACTTGATTGATCTTGATTGAGGTAAATGAAAAACTATTGCACATAGAAAATGACCATTTGTGTCTTGGGATGTCTAGAGATTTAGAATATAGGTTTTTTTATTCTAGATATCTAAACCTTACACAGGTTTGATGGGACTGTGATATTTTCTATGTAGTTCAACTTTATTTAATAAGATGCATCAAAAAACAGGACATTGCTTGGCAAATTGGGGACCCATGTTTTTGCAGTTCTGCATTAAATTAATGAAAATTTTGGAAAGTAGTCTACAGAGAAAATGAAAGAGATGGCCTTGAACCAATCTTGATTTAGCCGTTCATGGCCATGGCTGACGCTGAAATGGAAGGAATTGAGCATTTTAAGATCATTTCGTTCAAGGAGATAAAGTTAAGTCGGGCTAGAAGGAAACTGGAAAACTATGCACCTTGCTAAATGAGCTTTTGTGTGTGTGCATACACATTGGTCAATGAAAGAGGAAACAGGGAGACATAGGAGATTAATAAACAACAATTTGTTCTGCAACTGATAGGTTATTAGCATCATATGGAGATGTTCTGTACAGCTTTCTCTACTGGCACCACAGGCTGCGAAACTACATGTTCTACAGAAAGTTTTCATGTACAGAGGAGGAGCTCTAAAAGGGTACTCATGGTTTTGAACTGAATCACTACAAGCATCCACCACCAGAAACGCTTCAGGCATGCCAGAATGGTTATGGCATAGCTCCATGCGTTTGTCTGTGATAATTTCAAGTGTATAATACCATGTCAGCTTCACTCTTCATATCTCCTGCCACCAAGTTCTCATCGTTACGCTACAAAGTTAGGGTTACAGGAGCTGCAAATATTGATGTGGAACAGCTCAAACCATCAATGATATATAGCCCATGATTTAGATTGCATACAAGCATCAGAGGGAGAAGTATACTGCACAATAGACCATAGCCATCTACGGAAGGATTTCCGGAATTGTTCATTGCTCCCAACCCATTAACATCTTCCAAACTTGTTCCTCAATTTTGCTTCTTGGAACAGCCAAGCCTTCCCCTTCATCGAGTAAGACTCTGTACACTTCAAATTCCTTATCTCCGATCATGTGCCTCCTAATCTCAGCCTGGAAAGACAAACAGGATATATAACATTTCCTCTGGAATATGAATAATAACAGTAACCACTTAATTTACAGAAAACAAATATCTCAGAATTAAGTTATAATTACTAGCAATCCCACAGTTTCAGCCATAATGCCTTTTGAAGTCAAAAAATCAGGAGATATCATCTCATATGAATAAAGAAAAGATGCCTTAAGCTATTGATAGGGAAAGGCCAAAAGTGATATCATGCAGGAATTGCCAAGCCTATCCAAGCTTATTCAGCAAGTAGATAAGTACCGAGAAAATGCAAGTGTTAAGCATCTTCAGAGCAAGAGTGATGTCATGAAAAACAAGAGGCCGACCCTTGCCGGATAACTCCACAGGATTTGCCACCAGCAGCTCAGTATCAGGACCACGGCTGGCAATGGCTACTCGCAGAGGGCGCACCAGTTCCATCTCCAAACGAGCAGACAATGCTTTCTGCTTGCTAAGATCAACTATTTTCTTCCCATCGGTTTGCACGATAAACAAGTCAATCTCACCGGTCCTTCCATGTTTTATGGAAAAGCGCCCATATGAAATCTGGTCATACAAGTAGTAATTAATTTCTCTCCCAGAAAGATTCGGTAAAAAAAAATTAGAATAATGACGCAAAAAGTGCTTCCTCCAAAGAGAATGAGGCATCTGACTTGCATGAATAGCGAACATGACAGAGATGTCCATTGATGTATTTCCAAAATCTCATACCATTAATCTACCTGTATGTTGTAATCCTTTAGAGTTCTCATTATGTCATAAAGAAGACCTTTGTGATCTTGGCACAAAATTTGAACGAGGGTGTGACCTGGACTCAGCGAGTTGTCCATTATGACAGAAACACTGGTTGAAGTTAGTGAACTGGGGAGTTCATCTGGTATTTTCAAGGGGAGAATGTTTTCTGTGATTGTAGTTGGCAGAAATGAAGATTCCGCTGAACATGCAGTAATTTCAGGGCCAACCATTTCTATTTCACAGCTTATCAAGGAATTTCCCATAACAGCTTTTAAGTGATAATATGTATCCTCCTTTCGCTTATTTGTATGCAGGAGCTCCCTGATAGAGGAAGACAGTAAGAAAATTACTTTAACAAGAAGATAATCACAAGTTGAAGAAGTTGAATAGCTATGCGAACAGGATTTATAGAAATGTTCATCTTGTTTACTCAGATCTTTCTATGAACTAACATAATAAATGACCTAGAAGTAGGTAAAAAAACATGGACATTAGGAGAAGATGCACCTCATGCGAAAATTTATATTCTCAACCTTCTCAAATCCTCCAAACCCACAGTTATTACTTATTATAAATCTAAAACGTGTACAAAATGGATATGATAAGAAAAATTTCGCGATAGTTATATCTCTAGATGGCAGCAGTCCAGTGTAAACAGAGTCAGCCAATACATACTGTATTGTATTCAAATCAGCAGTAAAAGCCAAACTATTTTTCAATCAAATTTGTTAGAGTTGAATTCACATCATGTCGTAATTTGAAAGGTTTGCAGTCATTTCAAAGTAATCAAATTAATACAACTTAATGAGCATCACGCAGCACAGATACTGTTAAACCAGCAATAACTTCATTGGCAGTGAAACCAGGAGCATAAATTTGAAACCAAAAAAAAAAAATGATGTAATTTTGAGGAGAGATGTCAGAAATTCGAGACCTGGTATCTGTAATGAAGAATAGGTCCATCACACTGCCATCTGGCGTCGTGGATACCTTCACTTTTTTTATAATGAGTTCAAGTTCACAAAGCACCGCGGTCACATCTGCGAAAGCAAACCCTCAGGAGCTCAATAACCAATTACAAAACCAGAAACATTCCAATTTCTAAATTCTCCACTGAAACATCAAAATCACAAGGGGGTCTGACAACTTTATGCCAATCACCAGGTAAAATCAAGATTTTTACGGGGAACACGATTCCTTCATATTACATATGATAGCAGGATTTATAGAATACGAATTGCAAACTTGGAAACTCATGACAGGCTAAGGTTTTTGAAGAAAAAGGAGCAACAAAAGAGCAACTACGAATCAGAACCACCTTGTAGATCACCTTAGCAACGCAAAATATATACATGAGCAGAAAAGCACACAACCAAAACATTGAACAACGAAGATCAAAAAGAGGGGAATTGAATCCCAAAATCCACGAAAAAATTAGTACCGTGCAAAAGTCCTCTTCTGTCAAGACAAGATAACTTCAAGAGGAAAACATCAGGTGGTCCTGGAGGCTGCAATTCTGCACGGTAATAAGAAATCCAGGAAGCTGAAGAACATGAAGGACATGCCTCTACTAGTCTCTTCTTCAATAAACCCCACCTTGTTGTTGATTTGCCAACCACCCAAAACACTACGTAGCACCAAATCCCATCCGTAGAAACATCTTCACCACATAAAAAAAAAACAAATTCAAAAAACCCAAAATCAAAACGAAAATCCCATATTTTTTTTCACCAAACTATTCATCGTTTTTTTTTTCTTTCTTTCATGAAGACCAAACTATGCATCTTTGTTTTTGACAGAATTGGAGACTATAAGTTGTGAAAGAAAACCAGTGAAAGAAGCTTATTTTAGAATCTGGGCTGCTTACAAAATAGCAGAAAAGAAAAAAGCAAAAGGAAATATTGAGCTGAAAATACTACTACTAAGACGATTAGACAAGCAATAAAAATGGAAACTTATTCTCTCTTTGTGGTCCTTACCTCCTCTAACAATGCTAAGGCCAAAGAAGAGAATGATACGACATAAATCACAACCAAGACCAGTCTTGTCAGGACAATTCACGGTAATAATAGTTGGGTTTCCTTCTTTCTCTGCTTCTTTAATTATCACAACATCGTCATGTAAAATTCCCATTTGCTGGTCTTCTTTTTTCCCTTTCTCCTCCTCTTCTTTCTTGAATTTGTGAGTTGGGTTTTGTTGTTGCTGCTTGCTGGTGGTGCACAGAGGAAAAGAAGAAGAAGCCGATAAAGAAACAGAGAGAGAGAGAGACAGAAGACAGTGCTCTGTTGTGTTTCTTTCTGCTTCGCTTCTGCTTCACTAGTAGTTCTTGTTGCTGTTTCCTTGTCTGTTTTTACTTTTATTTTAATCTTTTAGGGTTGGTAATTTTGAGGATGGGTTTGATTGAGATATTGGACACGGGATGATACAGTGTTCCAAGTTTGAGAAGAACGAGAATTTGCTGTCCATTTCATTTTATGGGTGCAAACCGTCCAAAAATAAATAAGTATTTCTCAATTTATTGATTTTTTTTTTTTTATCAGCTCTCCTTCCCTGTATTTTTCTTCGAGCTATGAAATTGACGTTGATGTTGATGATGGTGGTGGTGATCGGTGAGCGGGTTTGTGTTGAAAATGAGAGGAGGTTCAAGAGTATGATGTGCTGTTTATTTAGTTTAGTTTACGGTTTTGTTAATTTAAAGAGAAAATTCTTGTATTTTTAAAATCCTAATCTGATAAAATTAATGAAAAATTAGAATTTTTTATTTTATAAAAACAGCATTTTTGTGATGAATTGCAAGAAAATAATAAAATATATGATTTCAATGTTTATATTATATATAATAGAATATATATTTTATGTTTTCTTAATTAATAATTATAATATTTATTTTTAAAAACAACAACGATCTTATGATTTTGTAAAAAAAAAAAACACAAATGGGTTAAATAATTTGAAATTTTAACCCACGTGTCTGTGTTTTTTTTATTAATTTTTGTTATTATTTTGTTCTTTTATTGTAAGAAAAAAAATCTTAAGTTCATATTTTGACACATGTTAATCTATTTGAAGGATACATGTCCAACATTAACCATTATTTAGACTGAAATTTTTTTTTTTTTTTAAGAAAAAAAGAGAGAAAATCACATCAAGATCTATTTAGACTGAAATTTTTCTTTTTAATTCTCGATTCTGTTTTTTCTTTTCGAAATGGATCTATAAAATTAGTATTGTTAGTTATTTGTAAAATAAGACAAAATGAATCAAATCTAGCATGAACATTTTGGTGTTTTAATGCCTTACACATAAATTCTATGAAAGAAGTGGATAAAAAGGAAAAATAATGTTATAGTATAAACATGAGAAATTATAACCATGTAGGGTTCACACATTATCCCACAAAATCAACAATTTATGATGATTTCACGCCACCATTTATGGCACAAATTATGTCACATATCACTTTATAAATATAAAATGAGTTAGGAAATATGAATAACATATTATCGAGAGACAAACAAAATGAGAGAATTCTACTATGCTGTTTTAATTGAGTTATGTCAAGTATTTACAAAAAATATGATTCATTAGATTAGTGGGATCCACCTAAGATTATGATCTAACTACTCACATTTTTTTGAAGTTTTTTTTTTAATTACCTTGGATTCAAAAAAAAAATATATATCTTCTTTAACTTTTCACGCATATTAAGAAGTTTATTAACATATCAACATCTTTTATTTATACTTTCCAAAAATATTCCTTTTTTAAGAATTTTTTAAAATATTTTTTTACAAAATAAACTTTAGTTAAGAATATTTTACAAAAACGCATAACTTAAAGATGGAGCATTATTTGTCATTCTTCTTTCTATTTAGTGAATCTTTTAAATCAAATGAAAGTAGAAGCTATAGACAGTTAATAGAGATAAATTTTACATTATTTTATTAATATTTCAAGTATAGTATAAAAATATAAATGTTATTTTTATTTTTAATTTTTCATTTCGATTCCCGAATTTTTGTTTCGGACCTTTCATTCATAATAATTAAACGATACATAAGAGTAACTATCAATATTTACTCTATAAGAAAGAGATAGACACAAAGATAGAAGAGAAATGAGGGAGATAATTTTTTTTAAAAAAATGAATTTATGTAAAAATTTTCTTATCACTTTTAATGAGTCCGAATGTGATTATTTTTTTTTAAGTCCACCTCTTTTTTAAAAATGAGTTCATAAAGTAATTATTATAAACTTATAATAATTAAGAATATTTTAAAATTTATCGTTAACTGATAAATTCGAGTTAGGGATGATTAATTGGCACAAACACTAAACTTATAGATTAAAATGACTCTTAGTCCATTTTATTTCCACAAAAACAATAGCGCAGTAGCAGTTTTATAAATTCTTCCTTTTTTATTTTTTATGTTTTTTCTTGTTTGGAGAATGATTGGATTCCAAATTATAATCAACCCTTCTCTACTCCTTATCTGAAAAAAAAAAAAAAAAAAAATTGACGTGGCAGATCCAACATTATTGGACCTTATTAAATCAAAAAATGTCTGTCGGTCCATTAGTCGGAAAGTCCACCCTTTGTCATACCCTTTTACGGAGAAGTTGGAACTTTAAAAGAAACCATATATCGTGATGAAATAGCTGATATATCGTGATCGTATGATATGAAATGTTGTCCGCGTTTGATCGCCCAGACCACTCGTGACTAGTGAGTGACAGCCGCCATCACGTGTCTTATTTCTGGCCGGTCCCTCTCACGTGCTTATCTTAACGGAGTATTCGAAGAAAGAAAAGTCTTTTGTCATTTTCATTCTTTATTTTTTTATTTTAAGCCCCTTTCACACCTGTTTTTCCAGTTCTGCCTGTTCCTTACCTCACCTAACTCTAACCATTTTTTTTTTTTACGTTTTCTTTTAATTTTTAATGATAAATTGTTCTCCAACCAACTTTCATATGGACCAGATTTATTTATTTTTGTTCATCGAGAAATTTATGAGTTTTGGACCATAAATAATAGTAATCCTTCTTATTATATAATTACTAACTAAATTTATAATTATTAAAATTGAAATTTTATTTCACTAAAAAAAATTATCAGGTACACAATAAATAGAATAAACTTGCTTGTGTATACCATCCGGATTAGGATCGGTTTGATATAACTTTGGGTTTTAGCAGTAGCTTTTACTATAACTATAATTGTAATTGTTAGTTATGATTGTTATAATTGTAATAACGTGTCTCATAATATGCATGTTATATGTTATAACATATTTTTTTTTAAAAAAAAAAACAATTCCAAGAGATTGATTAGGCAATTAAAAAGATATGTTCTTTTTTTCATTTTATAGGCTCAAACCTCGAAACCAATACTCATGAAAATTTATATATAAAAAAAAAATTAACCTAAAAATACTCTAATAAAATAAAACTCAAAAACCCTAAAAACTATATTTGTAGCTTCTGTTTATTTTGATGTGAAAGCCCCGACGAGAAAGCCATAAGCACTACGGTGCCAAACAAGTTCTAACTTCCTCACCAACAACTCTTAAATACACCATATGAGATTCATGAATATATATATATATAGGGTTATATGTTCTTATATAATAAATCAATTTTTCAATCTATTTTAAAAAATCTATAATCTATCTTTATATTTTTTATTTGTTTTTAATCTATTTTTTTGTCAAAATTTTTTATCAATTTTCAAAAAATTTTATTTATATTAGTACATGTAGATCACTTATTCTAAATAATAAAGATAATTTTGTCAAATAACATACAATGTTAGAGAATAATATAAATTATATCATAGGATCTTACATAACGACTTAAGTTTTTAGGTGAGATGATCCTTTAACATAGTATCAAAGCTTTAATGACCAAACGGTCGCGAATTCGAATACTATTACTCCCACTTTCTCTTCTAATAAATTAAGCACAAAATAATGTGGGTCCGTACAAGTTTCCAACCTAAGTGAAGCTTTCACTTGAGTGAATGTGTTATAAAATAATATAAATCATATATTGGTAAGTGAGATGGTCTTTTGATATACAATTTGTAAATTACATTGAAAAATATATTACAAACCTTCTCAAAATATATTGCAAACTTTCTCAAAATATAATAACAGATTAAATGTATTTTTTTTAGACACACATCGAAAAATTGACCTATTAAATAATGATAAGGGTATCAACCAAATATAATCATGAACTTGCCAAGTATATACCACCTACCAGCAAAATTGAACTTCCAAAGAAGGGAATTAATAAATAATAGTATTAGTTAAACGTGGAACTTGCTTTACTCCATTGCAAGTACTAGCAACTTCCAAGTATGTGGACATTTAAAATATTTTGAGTAAAAGGATGAGATCATGGACACCGTGTCATCAATCTTGATAGATTCCAATAATTTCATTGTTTAAAGGTGTAGAAATTCGAGTGGATAAATAGGACTTGAATCTTGAGAATACGAACGATGAAGAAAAAGGAATAAACGGTATTGGCATGTAGCACAAGGCATTATTGATTTTAGAATCTTGCAACTAAGTTAGGCCTAGATTGGATTCATACACTGCCTGCCTACCTTTAAGCATCATCGTACTAGCGGGTAGGGTTTTATCCAAATCATCATATAGAATCTGAATCTTAGAGTAAACTTAAGAGATTTTTTTTACGGTAAATATACGAATTCGGATATAGATAATTTGTTTAATGCAGGATCAAAACTTTATCCTTAAAAGCTAGTTACATAACATATATATATATATATATATATATATATGAATTTTTGCATATATTTGCACCATGTATTTTTTTTTTTTTTGAGATTTTTTTTAATTCGGATATTTTGTAAATAGTATTGTAAAGTAAGAAATATTCAAGAATAAAAGTGACGTGTCAATCACTCGATTAGTAATATTATAACAAAAAAACTAAAGTACGAAATCTTAAAAACTAGAAAGTTTTACTCAAACTAAAAAAGAGTAAAAGATCTGCATAAAAAAAAAAAAATCCAAGAATACAAAGTCTAAACATGAGAGGGATGATACCCTCATCTATCTTCATATAATAAGCAAAATTTTCAATCTGTTTCTAAATCCAAA